GAAGAGGTGGGAAAAATACACAGAAGAATAATACAAAGAAGATCTTAATGACCTGGATAACTGTGATGTATGGTCACTCACCTAGAGCCAGACATCCTGGAGTGTGATGTCAAGTGGGCTTTAGGAAGCGTTACTACAAACAGAGCTAGTGGAGGTACTGGAATTCCCGCTGAGTTATTTAAAACCCTAAAAGATGATGCTGTGAAAGTGCTGCACTCAATATGCCAGCAAATTTGGAAAACTCAGCCATGGCCACAGGACTGGAAAAAAATCAGTTTTCATTCCATCTCAAAGAAAGGCAGTGCCAAAGAATGTTCAAATTATGGTACAATTGTCTTCATTTCACATGCTAGCAAAGTAATCCTCAAAATCCTTCAAGCTAGGCTTCAACAGTATGTGAACCAAGAACTTCCATATGTACAAGCTGGATTTAGAAAAGGTAGAGGATCCAGAGATCAAACTGACATCATTCATTGCATCACAGAAAAAAATCAAGGAAATTCCAGAAAAACATCTATTTCTGCTTCATCAACTAAGCTAAAGCCTTTGCTGTGTGGATCACAACAAACTATGGAAAATTCTTAAAGAAGATGGGAATAGTAGACCACCTTGCCTGTCTCCTGAGAAACCTGTATGTGGGTTAAGAAGCAATAGTTAGAACCGGACATGGAATAACAAACTGGTTCAAAATTGGGAAAGGAGTGAGTCAAGGCTGTATCCTGTCACCCTGCTTATTTAACTTATATGCAGAGTACATCATGCAAAATCCTGGGCTGGATGAATCACAAGCTGGAATCAAGATCGCCAGGAAAAATATCAACAACCTCAATTATGCAGATGATACCACTCTAATGGCAGAAAGTGAAGATAAACTAAAGAGCCTCTTAATAAAGGTGAAAGAAGAGGGTGAAAAAGCTGGCTTAAAACTCAACATTAAAAATAACTAAGATCATGACATCTGGTCCCATCACTTCAAGGAAAATAGATAGGGGGAAAGTAGAAGCAGTGACAGATTTTATTTTCTTGAATGCCAAAATCACCACAGAAGGTGACTGCAGCCACAAAATTAAAAGATGCTTGCTTCTTGAAAGAAAAGCCATGACAAACCTAGATACTGTATTAAAAAGCAGAGGTATCACTTTGCCAACATTTAGTCAAAGGTCTCTATATTCAAAGCTATGATTTTTCCAGTAGTCATATATGGATGTGAGAGTTAGACCATAAAGAAGGCTGAGCACTGAAGAACCAATGCTTTTAAATTATAGTGGTAGAGAAGACACTTAAGAGTCCCTTGGACAGCAAGGAGATCAAACCAGTCAATCCTAAAGGAAATCAACCCTGAATATTCATTGGAAGGACTGATGCTGAAGCTGAAGTTCCAATATTTTGGCCACCTGATGCAAGAGCTAACTCAGTGGAATAGACTCTGATACTGGGAAAGATTGAAGGCAGGAGGAGAAGGGGGAGACAGGATGAAATGGTTGGATGGCACTACTGATGCCATCCAGTGGACATGAGTTGGAGCAAACTCCAGGAGACAGTGAAGGATGGGGAAGGCTGGTGTGCTGCAGTCCATGGGGTCACAAAGAGTCAGACAGGACTTAGCGACTCTTCAACAACATAGAAGCATCTGCACTTTTCATGGCTGATAAAGCACTTCTAATACTACCACGATTTGCTGCCTACAATCCTAACAAGTGCACAGAGAATTTCTATGACAAGTAAGTGAACATAACATCTTTTTTTTTTTCCCATCGAAGGTTATGGACTGTGGATTCTGTCCATGGATCCTGGGATGAGAGGCCCCATTTTCAGCAGTACTATCTCTAAACTTGGTTTGTTCCTTCTGCCCAAGTTCTACCCACAAGAGATTAGGAGCACAAAGCAGCAACCACAGTGAAGACAGAAACATAACTTCACCTTGGGGTTGTGCTCCAAAGGGAACCAATAAGGACGTGCCAGTGCCTTTCTGGGGCATTCTGCCAAAGTCCTATATTTTTAGACTTTGGAAATGGACTGATTAATATTGTAATTTCATTGAGAGTCAAACTGTAACTGATGAGTGGAATTGGACATTTGTAAAACATAGACTTTCTTCAAGGAATCCCATAAATTATTCGGGATGGAAATCCTGACAAAAGGCAGAAGAGTCTGTGTGTGCATGTGTGTGTGTGTGTGTGTGTGTGTGTATGTGATTTTCAAACAAAAATTGATATACTTGTATTATTATAGCTTGCTTTTTTATAATATCACAATAGATCATGAGTAATTTTCAACAAATAAAGTTATATGATATTATTAATGGCTGCATAATATTCTATTATAAGCATTTAGCATGATTCATTTAATTCATCCCTACATTTGAACATGTGGGCTGAGTACAGTCTTTATAATTATTATGAAATTGTGCTCCGATGTGTGCTGTAAATCTTTGTCCACATGCTATTTTTATTTTCTTAGACTATTTCTATAAATGGAATTGCTGTGTCACAATTTAGTAAGAATAGTAATGCGTATTTTAAAGATTTTTTTGATCTGCACTGTCAAATTGTTCTCCAGAAAGGTTGTTCCTGTTCATAACAGAACTAGAGTCTTTGACCTTGGCTCAGAAGATGGCAAAGAGACTGGGAGAATGTCTCTAAATGGTGAGAAGTAAGATGATTCAGTACAAGAAGAAGGAAGGAAGAGTATTAGTGTTGTGCCTCTGATAGATTCCTTTTCTCTGATGCTGGAAACACCTTTAAGACAGACTATGGGATGGGACTGAATCTTCAAGACTTGGGATCCCTTGTGTCGACTTGATTTAAATCACCAACCCTGAATATTCATTGGAGGGACTGATGCTCAAGCTGAAGCTCCAATACTTTGGCCACCTGATGCAAAGAGCCAACTCATTGGAAAAGACCATGATGCTGGGAAAGATTGAAGGCAAAAAGAGAAGGGAGTGGCAGAGGACAAGATGGTTAGATAGCATCACCAACTCAATGCACATGAGTTTGAGATAGTGAAGGACAGGGAAACCTGGCGTGCTGCAGTTCATGGGGTTGAGAAGAGTCAGACATGACTTAGTGACTGAACAACAACAGCAATCTTATGCAGTTGTGCTAAGGGCACCCAGGGAGGGGTTTGTATCCATGTTTGGACCATACTACTCATGAGACTAGCGGAATCAGAAAGCACTCCAAGGAAAGAACAGTTTCAGGGGAGAAGGCATAAGCAGAGCTGGTTCATGACTTCTGACCTGGAGAGTCAGTGCTTTCTCTGCTCAAACAACAGGGGTTTGTGAGCATTACTATGGTAATGGAGGCTGTTTCTTCATCTTTTTTTTTTAAACCATCTTTCTATTTTCTTTCCTTTGCAGCTAGACACTATACTTCAGGAGGGCAAAATCCACTTTGTCCTTCTTGCGTATAACCAACAAAAGCTGACCAGGGGGAGAAACACTTTCTAACTCCCTCCACTGCCAAACTAAGATAGCAAATCCTGCCACAAAATACACAAGGAGATTAAAATCTAAGCCTACTGACCACTGACTGTTCTGTCTTCTCTTTTGTGGTTCTATAGATGTGGATCCGGTTTATTTCTTCATGCACAGAGACCAAAGATCAGTTCCGTCTCCATCATCCTATCTCCTAGATCTGCAGTTAAATTATTAGTATCTTTCCCCTTATCTCTCATCTGGGATTCCACAGAATGTAGTGGTTATCACACTACAGTTTAGTTTCCAATTCATGATTTAAAGCTTAAAAGATTGTATCCATGAGACTTGGTCTCTCTCCCTGTCCATGCCCACACCAGAGTCCCCTGGTCCACTGCCCTGCTCCCTGTTGAACCTCAGGAGGCACATGAAAGCAGACCCTGGATTAGCATTCGCTTCTGACATTTGTGCTCACCGAGTTGGGCTTACATAAAAGGGTCTCTCCTTTTCTCATGTGACTTTTCTGGACTCCACCTCTTCCCTGCTGTAACTATACTGCCCATTGACCTTAGTACCTACTTCGCCCGAACCCACCAGCCAGACCTCAATCCTCCGGGCTCTTGACCACCTCTGACACGGTTGTGCTCATTTGTCAGAGAAGACCATGGCTCAGAAAAGTTACATTAGATATAAAACTGTCTTCTAGCTAGCCTCGGGTCCTGACATTTTTATTTCCCTGGAGATGGGTCTGAAGGATCTTCTATTTCCCCCTTCCCAATCAGACCTGGAGTTAGGTCATCTGCACCGTCCCCGCATGCCCGACTTTCCCGCGAGCGCCGAGCCCTGGGAAGTCTAACACACGATCCGCTTGCAAAGACTTCGCGATCTGTTCGAGCGCATAAAACAGCGAACAGGAAGCTCCAACCGCGTCCAACCACGCTCCCGTTTGTCCCCGAGGCCACCCCGGGAAGAAAACAAGTGTTTGCGGAATTTGGCGGCCAAGGCCCAATAAATCCAGGCTTTATTCTCATTCTACTTTCTCTCTAGGCATCCCCAAGCTCGACCCTCAAAATCAATCCCCCAGATCCGAAGGGTGGGCCCGGCGCTCTCCGCCCGGCTCGCGAGACCCCAGGAGGGCGTCCTCCGGGTTTCCATCAGCCTCCCCCCCCTCCCCAAACCCGCCCCCAGCCCAGCGGGGACCGGGCGAGCAGCCCCCCGCGCGGGGCTGGAGAAGGGCGAGGGAGGGAAGCGGTGGCGAGGCTCCCCCAGGGAGCGCAGCGGGGAGCGCAGCGGCGGGGTCGGGGGAAGGGCCGGGAGGCGCCGGCGCAGCCAATCCCCGGGCCGCCCCCTCCCCGCCGCCGCGAGCCGAGCCGGGGCGGGGGAGCCAGGCGGCGGCGGCGGCGGCGGCGGCGGCGGCGGCGACGGAGGCTGCCGCGGGGAGGGATGGAGAGGGGAGGGGGGAGCGGAGCCGAGCGGAGACGGCCGCGGCGCTGCAGAACGGCTGGGGCGGCGGCGCGGCTCCCGGTGCTCCCCCCGGCGCCCGCCCCGCGTCGGTGAGGGCCCGGCCTGGAGGCCCGGAGCCATGGGCTGCATCGGCTCCCGGACCGTGGGTGGGTACCGCGGCGGCGCGGGCGCCGGTGGAGGCAGGGCTCGGCCGGGTCCAGTCCTCCGGCCCCCTCCCCCACCGCGCCCCGCGCCCCTCCCCGGGATCCCTCTCTCCGCACCCGCCGGGTCCGGCCCCGCTTCCTCACTTTGCCTCCGAGACCTCGCGGTCCCTGCCTTCACCGCTCTCCGCTGTCCTCGCGCGCGCCTCCTGGGCTTGCATCCCTCCGGGCTCTTTGCATCCTTCTCCCTCTAGCTTCCTTCCGTCGCCCTCCCCCAGGCGCGGTCCCTCTCCATCATACCCCCACCGGCATCCTCTCCGTGGCTCTCCCCTACTCTCGCGTCCCCGCACCCTCCACCTCCAGGCCCTGCCTTCCCCAGCCTCCTCGCCCTACTCCGTGTCCGGAGCAGCCCCCCTTCGAAGGACCCCCCAGCCTCAGTCTCAGCCCCGAGACTCCTTCGCACGCGCCCCCCCCCCCACCCACGCACCCACCGCACCCCGCTTCCATCCGGCTTGGATGTTTTGCCCCCATCTCTTTCCTTCTCCGTTGCCTTTTTCTGTCGTCCCTGCCTCCCCCGATTTGCTTTGTTCACGTGCATTTTCCCTCCGGGGCGGGGGCGGGATGAGTCTGGTGCCTCCGGGAGGGCAACCGGTTCCACGCCCGGAGGGAATGGGGCCGGGCCGGGCTGGGGTGGAGGGGACTAGCCGGGGACATCGGAGGAGGCGGGGGGCGGTTAGAGGGCTGGAGAGGGGTCGGCAGCTGGCTCCCCGGAGGGTGGGGCCGGCGGCGAAGAGAACCCGGGACCCCACTGCACCTGTCGGCGGGGCTGGCGGGGCGGGGCCGGCTCTTTATTTACCTTTGGCTGGAAGAAGGAAGCGAGGCGCCTACTAAGTCTTCTCCCCTCGGCCTTGCTACCACCCCTTCTCCCCCACCCCATGCACCCACTCCGCTCTCACAGCTCAACAGATTGATCCAACAAGCCTCTCCCCAACCCCCCCAATTTTTCCAACTCCCAATTTCTCCCGCCTGCATGCCCTAGTGACCTCAGGCCGAGGGAATAATTCGTGTTATTATTGCAAAGGAACTCACTCTCCAAAAGCCTGATTTCTCTGAGACCCGATTTATTCCCATGGATTACCACCGCCCCCCACCCCTGCTTTCACCTCTGCTCGGGGTTCTTTCCCTCCCCCTCCCTGCCCCCCGCGGCTCTGACTCAGCTCTCCCTCTCTCGCAAAGGCCACCTCCCCCCGCCCCTCTCTCCCACTCTGCCCTCCCCATCTCCCTTCCCCTCAGAGGTGGTTCCCTGCCTGCCCCATTCCCGCTCGTTTCGCCCAGACGTCCTTCTTTCCCGTTCTCTCCCAGCCGCCTCCTCTGCTCTGACCCATAGCACCATTCGCCCGTAGCCCCAGGGAGAAAGCGCCCGCTTTGTAGGGATCCTTCCTTTCTCAGACCTGTCAACCACAGTCCTTCTGCTTGCAGCATCTATGTCATCCTTACACGCCCAGTACCTCCTACTGCTGCCCAGGAACACATTCAATTCACCCCTTCTCAAGAGTGGACCCCTAATCCTAAACTCCGAATTAGAAAACTTTATGCTTGAATGCCAAGCATCTACCACCCAAGTGATTCTTCCCCCAAGCCTTCCAGGAGGCACACCCTGCCCTGACACCGGCAGTCTCCATGCACGAGGAGCTCTGGCCTGAGCTGAACAATGACCGTCCTCCTAGGCCCTCCAGTTTCCCTGTCAGCCCTCAAACCCCGTCCACTCCCTCCCATTGTCTTTTGTCTTCTCTCTGACTTGAATTCCCGGTCTCTTAGTTTCTGTTTTTCAAAGTCCCCTGCTCTCCTCCCTCTGGCACCCTTCTCTCCTCTTTCATTTGGCACGTGTCTCCCACAATCAGAATGACCCCATCTCTTTGCTTCTCTGCTCTTATTGCTTCTAGGTGAACACACCCAGCTCTCACCTCTATCCCCACCAAATCTCCTTCCTCTCATACAAATCTACCGGCTCCCATGGAGGGTCCACCAGGGAAGATGCAATCCTTCCACCTCACATGTAATAAAGCCAACACGGAGGGAAGCTTTGCCCCGGAAAAGTTCTGCCCTTGTTTGTAGAGACCTAATAGAGGAAAAGTACAGAACCCAGGCACTCCCATAAAGAAACCCTCAGAGATCCCTCGGGACAGAATGGAGAACTGTTTTCCTGCTAAAACCCAGCCACTGGCCCTTCCATTTAAACAAGAGCAACAAATAAGCTCATGGGACCCTTTTCCTAAGTGTGCTGTTCTTGACTGAGCTCAGTGTTGTTATCTCGTGCCAAAAACTGGGGGTGAGGGGAGATGTAGAGGGGAATAGGCAATTGGAAGAGAGAGTGGTTGTGGGGGGCAGGGGGGTTGGCCCCCCACTTGTGGCATCAGAATTCTGGAGGAAGAGAAGAAGGAGGGGCCGTCAGGGTGGGGACAGGCTGGGTGAAAGGGACGGACCTCACCATCTGGCCACCGCAGGAAATGAGGTGATCGCCGTGGACTGGAAGGGCCTGAAGGATGTGGACCAAATCAACATGGACAGCACCAGCTCGCTACATGGGAGCAGCCTTCACCGGCCATCCACGGAGGTGAGCACCCCCCCCCCAACCCTCATGCTCAGCTGCCCTCCCGAAAGACCTCGAAAAGACCCCTGAACCACCTTGCAGAAACCCAGTCCTTCAGCCATCGTCCTGAATTCCAGGATAACATCCCAGACCCGCCCTCAGACTGACACTTTCACAGAATGTTCCTCCTCCGTTCCTCAAATACAAGCCCAGTGCTCCACACCAAGACCCCAAGTTCCCGGTGTGACTCTCAGAAAAGCCCTCCCTACTTCTCACACTTCTGGAAAGCCCTCTGAGGAAGTGTCCCGGGTACCCACTCCCTCTCCTCTTCTCCTCACAGCAAACCCGGACAGACTTCTCCTGGGATGGCATCAATGTGAGTGCAGCTCCCCCCTCCCCCCTAACTCCTCTCCTTTGTCCTCCCCTGTAGGCCTGCCATAGAACACAGTGCTCCCTGGTTCCAGTGGGCCCAGAAGCCCTCACGTTCTTTACCTACCCCCAAACTTCCAAGAGCGGTTGGGAGATGGGCCTCCTGGGTATCAGGGTTTCCTATCACCGGCCCTAGCTCAGATCCTTCCTCCTGAACATACAGGCATCCCTTACTCTCTTATCCCTCTGCCCTATCTCCCACGCCCCCTCCCAGCTCTCCATGGAGGACACCACTTCCATCCTTCCGAAGCTTAAGCGAAACTCGAATGCCTATGGCATTGGGGCCCTGGCCAAGTCATCGTTCTCAGGTGAGATTCCCCACCTGGGGATGCTTTCTGACAGGACATGGCCTGTGGACTCCTGGTCTCAGTCTCCCTGCTGCTTCAGACCTGGAAAACACACCATCATCCCCGTACTCCGGACCTGTTTGCCTTTTCTGTTAAGCCCCTCCAATCATCCAGGCCGCCCCCTCATATACGGTGTCTTAGGGTATTACCTGCCCTTTTCATGAGTCAGCATCCCATGGGGCTAGGGTGGGGATAACAGGGTTCGGAGGGAATCTGGTACGGGTATTGTGTGATGTTCTGGAGGACATGGGGAATGTCTGGTCCCTCAGGGATTTCGAGAAGCATGAAGGATCACGTGACAAAGCCCACAGCCATGGGGCAGGGCCGGGTGGCCCACATGATTGAGTGGCAGGGCTGGGGGAAGACACCAGCCATTCAGCCGCAGCATAGCCACGAGGCTGTCCGCAGGGACACAGACGCCTACTCCGACCTCAGCGACGGCGAGAAGGAGGCCCGTTTCCTTGCAGGTACTTATTCCCCAGCCCCTCGAGAGATACATTTTCAGGATGGCCAAGACCCACTCTTCAACCTGGTCCCCTATGGTAGGACTGGCTCTGTCCGTGTGATGACCATCAGACTTCATTTCCCAACGAGCTCGAATTTCAAGGACTCTGACTTGTTCATTCTGATAAGTGCTCTCAAACTTTTTGTTTGTGTTTATTTGTTTATTTGGCTGCACTGGGTCTTAGGTTGTGGCATGTGGGATTTTAGAACCCAGGGCCCCTGCATTGGGAGTGTGGAGTCTTAGCCACTGGACTACTGGGAAGTCCCTCAAACTTATTATTATCATCTCAGTTGAGGGAAATTAATGTGGGATTATGGGTCCACCTGATGCCTTCTTTCCCACATGGTAGGACTCCTACCATGGTAGGAATCCAATCTCTGGATTCCCTCAGTACAGGGGGAAAAAAAGCAGGGGCCTTAGAATCAATAGTCTCTGCCTCTATTTTTGTTTTATGATGTAAAAGAAAGAAAAGCCTTGGGGTTCTCTTCTAGCCTTTGCCCATCAGCACTTTGCTGTCATGGATTCACTTACAGACAACTTACTTGTACAGCCACCAGAAGATCAAGGGACCTGGGTGAGGAGAGGGTGTGTACAGAAGAGCTTTTATTCAGTAGAGGTAGGAGGCAGGCATATGGTGTACTTACAACACTAACCAGGGGCATCCCTGGTTGCTCAGGGGTAAAGAATCTGCCTGCCAATGCAGGAGACATGGGTTCGATCACTAGATGGGGAAGACCCCCCTAGAGGAGGAAATGGCAATCCACTCCAGTGTTTTTATCTGGGAAATCCCATGGACAGAGGAGCCTGGTGGGCTACAGTCCATGGGATTGCAAAAGAGTTGGACACAACTTAGCAACTAAATAACATCAATATTGGCCAAGCCTTGGTGGCAGATCTCAGCAAGATACTTCAGAAAAAAAGATAGATCTGGACTCTGGTGGTGTGCATGGCAGAAATACCAGTGGGGAGGGGAGATGAACAGGTGGGGGTAGTGCAGGGCAGCTAGCAAAGTAAGCTTCAACTTACTATAACATGGCTTTGACTAGCATGGGAACCCCAAGTCTCTGTACCGTCATTACTCTATCCCCTCTCCCTTGCCGTCCCAGACCTTAAACTTTCAGCCTGATACCACTGTGGACCTACAATCCCTCCCATTTGGATTCCTCTGGCCTTGACTACCTAGCACTAGCTACCATCCCTAAAAAATTCTGAAGGTAAACTTCTGGAAATCCTCAATTTTAATCCCTTATGATACCTCACCAGAAGACCCCCAATTCTTTCCCCTAGGAATTCGAAGTCTGACCTGGGAAGTCACCCATGATTTTGCCTTGTTTTAGGGCATATACAAAAACTGTGCTGTCCGATACAGTAGCCACTGGCCATGTGTGGCTGAGAATTTGAAATGTGGCTAGTTGAAACGGAGACGTGCTGTAAGTGCAAAATATCGACTGGATTTCAAAGACTTTATGTGAATAAAAGAACGTAAAATATCTCAATAATTTGTATATGGATTATACATTGAAATGACAGTTTATATAGATTAGGTTAAAGATGTATTATTAAAATTCATTTTACCTGTTTCTTTTCAATATGGCTACTAGACAGTTTTAAATTGCACAAATGACTCGTGTTATATTCCTATGGAACAGCACCGCACTGATGCCCCCTGCCCCAGGCAGGGGTCTAAGGCTTTCTGGAGGTGTCTTGTGCCAACTACCTTTCCTCTCCCAGGTGTCATGGAACAGTTTGCCATCTCCGAGGCTACTCTCATGGCCTGGTCTTCCATGGACGGTGAGGACATGAGTGTCAACTCCACCCAGGAAACACTGGGCTGCAACTACAGTGACAACTACCAGGAGCTGATGGAGAGTCAGGGTGAGGAACAGTTCCAGAATCCGACCCCAGAGGCTCCCTCCATTCATCTCTAAGACTCTGTGTTCACATCAGCTTTCCTATTGCCTCCCACATCCCACCCCCTTCTCACCCTTAATTTTCTGTGCTGCTGTCACAGCCTCTGATCATGTTCTGGGGCCCCACCAACCTTCGTGATTCTCTTTCCAGATGCCCTCGCTCAAGCCCCGATGGATGGCTGGCCTCATTCCTATGTGTCCCAGGGCATGTACTGTCTGGGGTCATCAGATGCCTGGGAAGCGAGCGACCAGTCCCTCATTGCCTCTCCGGCCACGGGATCCTATCTCGGGCCTGCGTTTGATGACTCACAGCCTAGCCTGCATGAAATGGGACCTTCCCAACCTGCTTCAGGATACTCTGCTCAGGAGCCGTCTTCCTTGCTAGGGGGAGACACTGACTGGGCTCCAGGGGTGGGCGGGGTGGACCTGGCAAGAGGCCCCGTGGAGGAGGAGAAGAGGCCACTGGCCCCCGAGGAGGAAGAGGATGCGGGATGCCGGGACCTGGAGTCCCTGTCACCGCGCGAGGACCCCGAGATGTCCACCGCTCTCAGCCGGAAGGTGTCTGACGTCACATCCTCAGGCGTGCAGTCCTTTGATGAGGAGGAAGGCGAGGCCAACAACTAGGTTCCTCCCACTCCTCGCCCAGCCGTCCACTCCTGCCACTCCTGCCGGAGGAGCCTGGCTGCAACCACACCTTCCTCCTTCCCCCAGCAGCGCGCCTGAAACCTGGGCAAGAAGACCCTGATGAGCCCAGGAGGCGTCCTCGCCAGCAAAACGGAGGGCCAGGGTGGAATTTTATCCGGGCTTATGCTGTAGAGACCACAGATCCAGAAATTGAGGCCCGGGCAACCGAGATGGCCCGGAACTTCGCTTGCCTGCGGGCTTCTGGGTCTGCGGCGTGCGTCCCGAGCGCAGGAGCACCGTCCCCTGGACCGCAGGTCTTTGCTCCCTGATCTCGTCTTCCAGAAGTCTCCACTGTGGCTGTCTGAAGATCTCCTTTCTCCAAGTCACTCTTGCTCTTCCTGACTTTTTTCTCTGGCTGTGACCCAGGCTCAGCCCCACTATGAGGAGCAGACCTGGGGGACTGTTGGATGTGATTCCATGGAGCCGGGGTGGGGCCGGGGGCGGGGGGAGGGGGAGCAACGTACAGACCATGTCTCCTTGGAGGGTGGAGAGTCTGCCCTCAGAGGTAACTTGGCTTCTGAGATGAGGGATCTCGGCGAAGACGGACGTGGCAATGGATGCACAGGGGCCAGGTGGTCACTCGTGAGACCCAGGACAAACACGGGCCACGTGCTTTGGGATCTTGAGTATATCCAGTGGATGAACGGAGGGCCCCACGGACCTGGGAAAGGACCCCCACCAGGGCTGGCTGCTCCAGCTCTTCTTCCCTTTTTCTGCCTTCTTCCATCCCCTGCTCTGGGAGCCCCGGCCCCGCCCCGCCAAGGGGAGACTTGGAATGCTGGTGTCCTGGCCAGACAGGAAGCATGAAGCTGCCTCCCTCCATCCAGCCCTAATTCTCTGGAGCTGTTTACACTTTTCTCTTTGCCTTTTCTACATTTTTATAACTTCTTGGGGACTCAGGGTTGAGTGGGGGTGGAGGGAGGGGTCTGGTGCTGTCAGGCACCCCCCAGATTGGGGCGGGGGAGGGGGTTTGGTGTTGGCTGAGGAGCAGCGAGGGTGCTTGGCCCCCTTTGCCCTTCCTCGCCTCCTCCCAGGACTCCCGGGAGGACCTCACAGGTGTCCCCCCTCCCTCCCCAGACCTGAGGAGGACGCGGTATTCTTACTTCCAGGATAAGCCCCTGAAACTGCTTGCCCTCCCACACCCACTCTCCATTCTTGGAGGGGAGTGGGGGGGGACCTCTGGGCAGCCCGTGAAGCATGATCGTAGGGGGCTGAGTTGACGGGTAGAGTGGAGAGCCAGTCCCCCCCTCCACGCCCGCCCACCTCCGCCGCAGAATGAGGAGGCTGAGCTGATCGCTGGGTGGCTCATCCTGCCGCCCCCCCCCCCCCCTTCAAGCCCCCACTGTCATACACACGTGCCCCTGAAATGCAACCGAGGCCACGTCCCACGTCTTCCGGGGGAGGGGAGGATGGCCACCCTCCGAGGTTGGTTCTTGCAGAGGAAACGGCTGGGCAGGGTGAGCCCAGGTAGGTGAAGTTGCTTTGGATGAGGTGCTGTGTGCTCACGTGACCGGACACTGCTGGCCCCGCCCTGCACCCCTTGCTGCAGGCCTTTGAGGTTTGCTGGTCACGGTTTCCTCCTCTCAAGGGGTCCCCGTTTCCTGACCTTGTGCACCCTGCCCTCTCTCTAAGGCATCATCCTTTTCTCTTTACTCTCACCCGCTTCGTGCCCCATCTTCCACCCCCAGACCGCAGGGGACATCCAGTCCAGGGAGCGGGTTCATTCATCAACAGTTCCTTTTCCGCTCAGGGCCCTGTGGAGTCAGGAAAGGTCATCTAAAGCAGCGTCCTCCCCTTCCTCGCCCGAGGAAGCCCAGCGTCCCTGCCAGTCCTGCCAAAAGATGGCTAAAACTCTAAAGAACTCAGCAGAGTTCAGATGTGAGCGTGAGGGTGGGGTTCAGCCTCTCCTGGGCGCTGGCGTCGCTGCAGACCAGAGGTCGGGTGGGGCGGGGTCTGCACCTTGCAGGCAGCTCCCCCTCCGCTCTGAAGAGGGAGAAGACTCGAGGAGCTGGCCTGGGACCCTCTTAGGACTCTTCCAAGGGAGGGACTGCCTCTCTGGTGCTGGGGGCCAGGGTGCATGGGGTTTGCTTGTAGCCTATTTTAGGGGGAGGGGAGGGGCATGTGCCGGAAGAGGCTGCTGGGGGTGGGGGAGGGTTGCTTTTTCTTTGGGGTTAAAGGCTGTGCAGCACGTTTTAGGACAGCCCCCAGAACGGGGCTGTTTTTATATCATTGTGAATGAAACTGCTCTTGCTAAATTATTTTCTTCTGGTGGGGGGTGCACTTTCATTTTCAATTCACTTTATTAAAGGAAAATCGCAATCTTCCATTCCTCCCCTCCCCCCATCGTCCCCCACCCAACCTCCCCCCAACCCCACACCTTCCTCTCAAGGAGGGAATCTTGGTGAATGAGTTATTACCTCTCCTCGCCCCCCACCTGTACATCCCATACTCCCTCTTCCAGGTCTGGGAAATATTCCATTTTTACAGCCAGTCTTCGCATGTTTTCTTAATGTGACATTTCCACCCCAGGCCCAAGAGAGATTCTATGACATATATTACAGAGAGAGTTATATATAAATATATATATAAATATTATAGATTATATACACAGGAGCAGGGGCTCCAGGGCCCACTGCTAGGCCCCCTCCCCAGGCTGCAGCCTCTCTCTCTTGGCCCTGGGGAGGCAGAAGGGGTGTACTGTTGGGAGATGGTTCCAGGCTGTGTTCAATGGCACTAAACACTGTGGTGGCACCTTCGGCTATGAGTGTCTTATTTGGGGGGCGGTGGAGGCTGGGCATGAGGCGGGACGGAGGAGGATGCCTGGGATGGGCACAAAGATTTAAAGGAGGCATCAAAGTAGGCTCCGGGAGTTGGTGATGGACAGGGAAGCCTGGCATGCTGCAATCCACAGGGTCGCAAAGAGTCGGACACGACTGGGCGGCTGAACTGAACTGAAGAGAAGGGAGGGATGAAAGCCTTGGGGGTGGGATCAAGAGCACCTGGGACCACTTGCAGAGAAGGCAGGGTAATGGCAGGCTCCCTGTCGCTGGCTTGGGGCGGATAAGGGTCTCTGACTTCCCAAGTGTGGGAGAGCTGGGCCATTTCAACACTGAACCTCTAGAAGAGGAATAAAAAGGACCAGCCCCGAAGAAGCGTGGGGGTAAACCAGTGGCCCAGCTGCCCTGAGCCTTGGTTCTGGGCAGGAGAAGCCCCGGCTAGATCAGCTCAAGGACAGAGCTGACCCTTGGGCAGGACAGATCAAAGACGACAGTGGGAAAGGGAGTGACCTGGAAACCGGAGGGTGAGGAAGCTGTAATGCGAGATGCCAGAGAGAGTAAAATAAATCCATTAGGGCCGCGTGACTGTTGAGCCACAAGTTACCACCCCTTCCACACAGAGCCTTCCCGTGACCGTCTGTCTTCTAGGCTCTTCCCCTGAATAGGCTCTGTATCTGTGTCTCACTGCCTAAATGGAGGATGGAAAGGGATGTAGAAATGGCCTTTTCCCGCCCGAGGAATTGAGGCCAGACCCTGGGAGCTCAGATGGTAAAAGTGTCTGCCTGCAATGTGGGAGACCCAGGTTCGATCCCCAGGTCGGGAAGATCCCCTGGAGAAGGAAATGGCAACCCACTCCAGTACTCTTGCCTGGAAAATTCCATGGATGGAGGACCCTGCTAGGCTACAGTCCATGGGGTCGCAAAGAGTTGGACACGACTGAGCGACTTCACTTTCTAGTAGGAGTCAGAATGGAGTCTGGAGGCAAATTTCAGGGAGTGGCTGTGGGCAAGTGGAGGGCTCTGAGAGAAGGCGCTGTGGACAGTTTGCGAGTACATTCAAGGGCCATCAGTCCATGAGGCCATGAGGCGGTCCCGTCTCCTCCTCCAACATGGCTCTGGCAGGACCACAGTCATCCTGGGTCTCCATTAACCTACCCCCAGGGGAACTGATGGGAGGATGGGCAAGGCCGGGAAGGCACTGGGATAAGAACCCTGGGGGCAGGGGGAGGGCAGGTTGTGGGGGATGCATGGGAGAGGCAGGTATTCCCCATCCACACATGGGCAAACTCAGGAAGCCCATGGAATATCAGGGGACCTTCACACAGATCCACCACCTATCTGGGGATGGGAGAGCATGGCCCAAATGACTGACCAAAGCTACCCCCTGCCCAAATTCCAGCTCCTCCTCCAAGGATCACATTTTTTAAAACTCCCAGGAGAGGCCGTGTATTGATGTGATCCCCACCAGCTTCAGGAAACACCCTCTCCCACATGGTACACCCTCTCTCCTGGGTCCCTGGACAACCTCCGTGAGAGGAGGTGCAAAAGGCAGTCAAAGGATCAGTTCATCCCCATCCTCCTCGTCGGTGGAGCGCAGACTGGGGCCCTGCAGGATGTCAGCCAGCTCCTCCTCCTCGGGCCCTGGCCCCTCCACCAGCTCCAGCTCTTCCAGCTCGCTCTCCGCCGGAGTCTGGGAGAGGGGGTGCTCCGGGAAGGGGGGTGGCACGGGGGTCTCTGGGGAAGCAGGGGTCACGTCCCCTGCCCCAGTGGCCCCAGCTCCGTCGTCAGGCAGACTCCAGCCCTCTGCAGGAGGAAGCGGGACCCCGGTGTTCCTCCGAGTGGAAGTTGTACTCCGGAAGCTGGCAAGAGGGGGGCGGAGCTGCACCCCAGACTTGGTGTGTCCCTCAATGGCCTTCTGCAGCTGGGGAGCACAGGGAAGGGGAGAGAGGGTAGGACACGGGGAAGGAAAGAAGACGAGAAGGCAGGAACAGCGGAGAAATGGACAATCAAAGGAAAAGGAATGGGAAAGATATGGCGTGGCAGGGATGAATCGAAGGGAGAAGACAGAAAAAGGAAAATCGGGGCATGATGGACTGAGAGCCTCACCTGCAGAGCGGTGAAATCTCAAGAGCCCTGACCCAGGATCTCTTTTGCCCGGCCCCCAACCCTCAGGCCCCCTTCAGCCACGTGCCATTTGCCCGCTCTTTCCACGCCCCTCCACCGCAGCAACCCCATGAGACCTTGATTCAGGCCCTGTGTCCCCATTCCAAGCCCATGCCATCCTGATAAGATCAGGGGGCTGCCACCCCCGACCCCCTCCGTCTCTGCGTGAGAAACAGGTGGGAAACCCGGAGCACCTCCCGGATGTTAGAACCATCCCCTCCCCACCTCACCCCTTCCTCCCACTGCCACTCCAACGGGGGAACACGTCGCTCTTACCTCCTCCAGGGCCAGCACGCCCCTCAGCTTCCCCATGCTGGTCACATAAGCAAGGTGGAGGCCCAGGAGGGAGAAGAGGGTGTGGGTCTGCGAGCACAGAGCGGTGGGTAAGGTCAGCATGGTGGCACCGTCCCTTCCGGTCCTCCCGGAAGCCCTGCTGGGTGGATGGTGGGCAAAGACTTGCCTTGTGCAGAGTCGTCTGCTCCACCAGCTGGAAGGGGGACTGGTCGATACAGCAAGAGTCAAAACAGACAGGCAGGCCCAGCTGCTCCTGCTCCCAGGCCTCAATCTGCCAGAAAGGAGGGCCATCACCCAATCTCTGAGCCCCCTTAAACCCCAGATCCTTGATCTCAAACCGCCCTCCAATTCCTGGCCCGGAAACCTGAAATAGGCTGTGAAACTATCAATCACAGCTCCTCCAGGTCGCTGGCCCGCCTCCCTTTGCCCCAATAAATTCTCCTCCCTCCTCCAGCCCCAAATCAACCTTCAGCTTCAGGTGCTCAAAACATGCCCCCTTCTTCATGGTGCCCCAAACACTTGCTATTCCCCACCCATCTTTCCAATCTTGTTTTCTATTACTCCTGTGATTTTCTTGGGCTCCAAAATCACTGAGGATGGTGACTGCAGCCATGAAAGTAAAAGACACTTAGCCCTTGCAAGAAAAGGTATGACAAACCTAAACAACGTATCAAAAATCAGAGACATCCCTTTGTCAACCAAGTCCATCTAGTCAAAGCTATGGTTTTTCCAGTAGTCACGTAAGGCTGTGAGAGCTGGACCATGAACTGTGGTGCTGGAGAAGACTCTTTAGAGTCTGTTGTACTACAAGGAGATCAAACCAGTCAGTCTTACAGGAAATCAACCCTGAATATTCACTGAAAGGACTGATGCTGAAGCTCCAATGTTTTGGCTACCTGATGCAAAGAGCCAACTCATTGGAAAAGATTCTGATGTTGGGAAAGATAGCAGGCAGGAGGAGAAGAGGGCAACAGAGGATGAGATGGTTGGATGACATCACTGACTCAATGGACATGAGCCTGAGCAAACTCTGGGAGAACCAGTGTGGGTCTTGCTCCATCTTAGACTTGCCTTAGCTCTGGATGGAACTCCTCCAGAGGGCTGTGAGGCATCCATCATTGTGCGTCATGAAGAAACCTGCAGGCTGACCTTTTACAAAGCAGATCTTGGTGAAACTTTATTGGATTTAAAAAGCTGTTCTGGGTCACATGGCACTTTGTTGATTCAAACAAGCCGCTTTTGTGTATGTGTTTGGTTGTTTTGTTCTACATTGTATTGCTTTGTCTGTGACTAAAGCATTAAGGCAAAAGTTCAACTGTGCTTTGGATTTTAGATTTGCAGGCCCAAATCCCCAAGGTTCTAAATAATCCAGTATCACTGTGGCTCTCATAAATAAATTTTAAATTTTCTGTAACCTCTTCTCAGTCCCCTCTGAATGTGCTAGAGAAAACGTTCAGGAGTCCCTTGGACAGAAAAGAGATCGAACCAGTCAATCCTAAAAGAAATCAACTCCGAATATTCTCTGGAAAGACTGATGCTGAAGCTGAAGCTCCAGTACGTTGACCACCTGATGTCAAGAGCTGTCTCACTGGAAAAGACCTTGATGCTGGGAAAGATTGAAGCCAGGAGGAGAAGGAGATAACAGAGAATGAGATGGCTGGATGGTATCACTGACTCAATGGACATGAATTTGAGCAAGCTCTGGGAGATGGTGAAGGACAGGGAGGCCTGGTGTGCTGCAGTCCATGGGATCGCAAAGAGCTGGACACAACTGAGTGACTGAACAACAACCTCTGAATGAGGTTCTACTGTCTTTGTTTTTCAGTTTGCTCAGATCTACACGTCTCAAGCTTCAGAGGACGTCACTGAAGGTCATAGCCCAGTAGGTCATCCCCACTGAAGGTCATCCCCCACTGAAGGTCATCTCACATCCAGTGTTTGGTCTACGGGGCTGCGCTCTCCCCATCTGTCCCATTCTGCTTTTTCCTGACTACAATCACACCTCTTCCAAACTTTCACCTTCCCTAACTAAAAGTCCACCCAAAGTTGGGCAGCACTCAGCCCAGGATGGATGACCACTTAGCAGGTACGTTGCAGACAAGGTTTACTTAAATGACAGGGAGCGAGACCCTTGCCGGTGCTGGTTTGGTTGCTACTGCCCTCCTGCAGTGTGCTCTGATCATTTCTGGCCTCCCTGGTTCCATTTTCCCTGTCCTCGGGGAACAACAGTAGCAGAACCATTTCCTGTGCACGCACACCAAGCACTTCTTCTCTGTGCCAAGCCTTATGCCAATTGCTTCACTCCTCGAATCCTCTGTCCTATGGTTATCTCTATTTTACAGATAAGGAAAAACAGAGGAACAGAGTGCTTAAGTGTTTGTCCTTAAATGCTTAAGATTACACAGAGGTGGGCTTCCGACCTTGACTGCCCATCATGTCCCAGGAACCCCAGTTTTCATCTGCTCTAGGTTTGATGTGATCCACGACTTTAAAAAGCTCAGCATCAGTTACAAACCAGGACTCTAATGGGTGTGTATTCCTAACAGAGCGGCAGAATTAGACAAGTCATAGCAAAGACTTCAGGTGACCTAGAATTGAAGTCTTTGACTATTCCCAAAGGTCTCATCTTGATATTGTCAAGGGTGTCATCTGTATGCAGCCTGAAAACGCTGCTCAAAATATCCTGAAGTTTGACTCCTATTGTATCGTATCCTTCGAGAGAGTCATGGTGGGTCCCATGGGAGTTGAGAGCTGCTTAAAGTCTTCCCTGAGATAGATATCAGCTAAAAATGTATCATCTATCTTCTTTTTATCGCTACTTGCACTTTATTTCCTGTGGTTATTAAATAACCTCACTGATCAACTAGCTGGCTTTCTTTGGTGCATTAAAAAAAAAAAAGTATTATTGGTTTCAGCAGCCTAGTAAAGCACTCCTTCATTGTAGTTATGACCCATCTGATTCCTGCTTATGGGTAGAGGAATAGTTCAATTTTTTTCATCTGTGATTATCCATTTGATTTCTCAGGTCATTTATCCAGAAATGTTGTGTGTCTTGAGGGGTGTCAAGGGGAGAAGAGGAAGACCTGCTTTTCTCTCCTGTCTGTCACTAACCACCCTCTCCTCCAATCTTGAGTACTTTTAATTTTTAGCACATATATATTCTGGATGGGATTTTCCAGGTGGTACAGTGGTAAAGAATGCAGGAGATTCAGGAGACTCAGGTTGATCCCTGGGTCAGGAAGATCCCCTGGAGGAAGAAATGGCAACCCACTCCATTATTCTTGCCTTGGAAATCCAATGGAGACAGGAGCCTGGTGGGCTACAGTCCATAGAGTTCCAGAGAGTCAGACACAACTGAGGAAATAAGCACGCATGGATGCATATATTCTGGATATCCAGTAGATGTTTCTTTGAAGATAATATACATTATGGTATTTTATCAGCTACACACTTTTTGTTGTTTGCTCATTTTGCATATCTAATTTTATATTTTTAATATCAAGATAAATTTCCCATGAAAATTACCATTTGAACCATTTTAAGTGTACAATTAAGTGGCTTTTAGTACATTCAAAATGTTCAACCATTGGCAACGTCAACTTTCAGAGAGAGACAGGGGGGTGGATGGGTGAGTAGGGATCAGGGAATCGGCTTACATAGTTGTGAAGGCTAAAAAGTCTGATATTTCAGCCACGTACTTTTAAAGCTCTACCGTTCAGCCTTTGCAGCAAGCTTGCCTTCTCTTGACTAAATGCAATGGTTGCTAATGGATTTTATTGGTATCTCTCCACACCCCAGGGTAGTTCTGATCTGCACAGCTCAGCCACATGTTCCCAATCTGTTCCCTGTGCCATGTTCTGGTCACTCAGCACAACCTGCTCCACCCAGTGCTTGATTTTCTCTTTCATGGACTCAACAGCCCCCTCTCTGCAGAAATAGGCATTTGTCCCAAGGAGGCACCATGGTCGGTATTTGGCCTCAGTCTGTGGTTCTTCCCAGTCTCGCTTCCTGGAATCTTCCCATTGTCCCCTGTCTCAGGGCCCAGATCAACCTAGCATAGTAACCTCACCAGGCATTGATTTCCCCATTTTAGTTTTGATGCCGTTCTTCCACCTCCATTTGTATGAGTTGGCTGCCCAGTGCCATTTTCCTGCAGGTAAATGTCATCCTTCCCACATAGCGTCTGCCTGGTCCAGAATGCCTCTAACGTCCCAAAGCTCTAAGGCTCATCCTAGCACCACTGGCCCATCTACACACAGCAGCTCAGAATGTCCTTCTCCTGAAATGACACTGGTCCCCATGAGGACACCGCCATGCTTCCCCATCTCTAAGCAATGTGCCCAGCACCACTAACAACCCCACTAACAACCTCTCAGAGTGCCCTTCTGCCTAGCTTCACATCTATTCTTACAACAACACAATGAAGAAGATTGGAAAAAAAAAAAAGAGCAATGTCTTCACTTAACAAGACAGGGAATTCCCTGGTGGTTCAGTGGTTAAGACTCAATGCTTCCAATGCAGGTGGCATGAGTTCTATCCCTGGTCAAGGAACTAAGATTTCTGCATGTCACACAGCACAGCCAGCAAAACAAAACCAAACAGAAAAATGATTCACCCCAGCTTCCTGTTTCCTTTACTTACCTCTTCAGGAGACATGTTATCCACTAAATCTGTTGAATCCTAGAGGAGAAAGACATAGATCCAAGTTCCTTCCCTTTTCTTCCTCATAGAACCATAACCGCCTCTCCCTGGCCAGGCCACAGATGCCTCTTTCCATCCCATCATCCCTTCCATATGATGAAGTTTCTCTTCCCTGGTGGGACCTCTTCCCTCCCACCCTAAGGATCATGGGATTCTCACTCCTCAAAGACAAGTTCCCTTTCCCAACACATCTTTTCTCACCTGGGTCACTTTCTTCTTTTTGGGGCGAGCTCTGCCTAGCAAGCAGCGAAGCAGGGACCGGAAGATGGAGGGTCTTGGACCTGAGAGGAGTGGTGAATGGATGGAAATGGAGACAAAGCACTATCCATCCTGGGAAGAAATGGTTAGGGGCCCCAGCTGTCCTGATACTTTGTCAAAACAAGTCCGCATCTCTAGGTGCCTCACCTCTATAGGACCTCCCCTCTCCCACCCTCCTAATCCAGTCCTTGCCGCGCCACCCCCCCCTCAACTTTGGGGCAGTAACATTGGACTCAAAGAATAGAAATCCCCTCCCACCATCCCTTGGCCTCATCCCTCCTCATAATAGCAGCCCTTAGGTTGAGAAGCACGCAGAGACAACCCACAAGGTGTGAGGCAAGGGTGAGGTGCATGATGGGAGAATCTTTACCTGTAGACTCCAGTGCTTCCAGCTGCTGTTTGTGGCTGGGCAGGGGCCCATTGGGCTCTTCGGGGGGCAGTGGATCACTAGGAAGCGGGTGACGAGGAGGAAGAGAAGGCATCTGTAGAGAACAGTAAAAATTCTCAGTCCTAGAGAAGAGGCTACCTTGTCCTGCCTGTACCAGCTGGTGTCCTGGGAAACCTATCTAATGCTATTGTTCTGTACAGTTCAGAAGTCCTCAGAGCTCTCTGAATTCTCATGGCTCCAAAATTTGCAACCTCATCTCCTTCATTCCCTGGGTGCAGGGGCACTGATCTCTTAGACTTTGTCAATGATCAGCATCAGTCCTCTCTCTTCCTGTTTTCCCTTTGTCCCACCTGTCCCACTCCCCTGACCCTTCCCAGCCCGCTTACCTCGGGCTTCCCAGAGAGATCCTCATCTTCATCTTCATCCACAAAGGCAAAGGACTCGGGTCGACCCTGGGGCCAGACACCAGAGCGCCCCACCCCAGCCGGCCGCACCTTCCCGTCGAAGGGCAGCTCGGACAGCTTCCTCGCCATGTCCTGGGCCAACCGCAGCCTCCGCTCAGGACACAGGTGACGCTGCAGGAGGGACTGAAGTTCTGACCGCTCCACGGAGCCCAGCAGGATCATTGACTCTGGGGGAGACCCAGGCTCAGCCTGAGGACAGCTCAATCACCCCCTCGCCCCTCTCTCCGCAGGAGGGAGTCAGGGACTCAGCCCAGCGCCAGACTCTTTCAGCTCTTACCCTCTCTTCCTAAAAACTCATTTCCAAAGTCTTTCAGGATTGAACCTCACTCAGTTCCTTTTATTTCACCCATTTAGCACTTAGGGACCCAATTGAGAGTACATTGTTGTTATTCAGTTGCTTAGTCGTGTCCGACTCTTTGGAACCCCACGGACTATAGCCCACCAGGCTCCTCTGTCCATGGGATTTCCCAGGCAAGCATAATGGAGTGGTTTGCCATTTCCTTCTCCATGAGAGTATATTAACTGGTGCTAATTTGTACTTATTTTGATGCAGTCCTTACATAGAGAGTTTGCAAACAGGTGAACTAGGTATTAAAATAGGCTCATCAACTCTGCCTCCAAAAAAAGACATTAAAAACCATTCACACTGATATGGGACTATATTGGGCTGGGCAAAAAGTTTGTTTGGGTTTTTTGGATCATCTTATGTGCTGTGTGCTATGCTTAGTCACTCAGTCATGTCCGACTCTTTATGATCTCAGGGACTGTAGCCTGCCAGGCTCCTCTGTCCATGGGAGTCTCCAGGCAAGAATATTGGAGTGGGATGCCAGGCCCTCCTCCAGGAGATCTTCCCAATCTAGGGATTGAACCCAGGCCTCCTGCATTGCAGGTGGATTCTTTACCATCTGAGCCGCTAGGGAAGCCCATATCATCTTATGAAAAAACCCAAATGAACTTTTTGGCCAACCCAATACTTTGAAAAAAGGCTACAAGGATATCTGATGTTTAATCACTAAAATACTCTGGGTCCTTCTAGGCATAGACATAATGCCTCCTTTTTCAGGAAAAGTTCTTTTATATTTATTGAATGAGTGAGTGAGTGAAATCACTGTCATGTCCGACTCTTTGCGACCCCATGCACTGTAGCCTACCAGGGTCCTCCCTCCATGGGATTCTCCAGGCAAGAATACTGAAGTGGGTTGCCATTTCCTTCTCCAGGGGATCTTCCCGGCTCAGAGATCGAACTCGGGTCTCCTGCATTGCAGGCAGACACTTTAACCTCTGAGCCACCAGGGAAGCCCTTTATATTTATTAGCATTCTGTTACTATCATTAACATTTTCATTGCATTCTAAGGCCATAAGATTGCATGCGTGCTAAGTCACTTCAGACTCTTTGCAACTATGGACTGTAGCCTGCCAAGATCCTCTGTCCATGGGATTTCCGAGGCAAGAATACTAGAATGGGTTGCCATGCTCTCCTCCAGGGCATCTTCCTGACGCAGGGATCAAACCCACATCTCTCGGATTGACCCCCATGTCTCTTACATCTCCTGCATTGGCAGGCAGGTTCTTTACCACTAGCATCACCGTAGAAGTCCAAGATTAAAAAAAAATAGAAAGAAGTCCAAGCTTAAGGCAGTGTAATTGAGATAAATCTTACTGTTAGGTCTTGTGCTGTGTGCTGTGTTAAGTCGCTTCAGTCCTGTCTGACTGTTCGATCCTAAGGACTGTAGCCTGCCAGGCTCTTCTGTCCATGGAATTCTCCAGACAAGAATAGTGGGTTGCCATGTCCTCCTCCAGGGGTTCTTCCTGACCCAGGGATCGAACCTGCATCTCTTATGTCTCCTGCATTGGCAGGCAGATTCTTTACCTGTTAAATCTTAGTCATTACTATTAAAACCCTGCAACCCATCCCCTGTTCCAGTAAGGAGCCACTGCTTTAGAGGCCACTGAAAGGTATTTGGGAAAATATTAAAACTAAGGTAATTTGGATATTCTAATCATCTGAAATTAGAGCTAATAATTTAAATGGCTTCAAACGGCCCTATGATTCCATCACACTAATTCAAACATTAGACAAATATTTATTTAATATCTGGTAAATACCTATAAGGAAGAAGTCTGAGGGAGACAGATGTTAATAGTCTCAACCCTCAAAGGATACCGAATCTAGTGAGGAAGATAAGACATGGATATAGAAACCACAATAAGAAGTAATACGAAGCAAGATTAAGTGTCAGAGGTGGGCAGAAAGGATGGTGAAGGAAGTGAAATCACTACTTATCAAACATGTTTACTCCTTCACATGGAAAAGTCTCATCTGCTCCTTAAACTGGGTATTAAAGAACATCTGTCATTTAGCTAGGGGGCAAAGAGAGCCACCTCAGGGGGTGTAAGATTTACAGATGAGCCTCATTATTCACAGATTCCCTATTTGTGCAGGCTTCCCTGATAGCTCAGTCAGTAAAAGATCCACCTACAATGCAGGAGACCCAGGTTCAATCCCTGGGTCAGGAAGATCCCCTGGAGAAGGAAATGGCAACCCACTCCAGTATTCTTGCCTGGAGAATCCCAGGGACAGAGAAGTCTGGTGAGCTACAGCCCATGAGGTTGCAAGAGCCAGACACAATTTATCGACTAAACCACTTCCATTACCTATCTGTGAATTCTCCCACTGGCTCAAGTGTATTTGTAACCCAAAATCAATACGTGCTGTCTTTCCCCATTATTCACAGGCACATGTAAAGCAGCAAAAGATCTGAGGTGCCCCACGCACATGTTCCCGGTTGAGTCTGAACAGAGTGATATGCTGTCTTTTTTTTTTTTTCTAGCTTCGTATTATAAACAGGTGTTCCTTTCGTGATCCATGGAATGTCATGATTTTTGTATTTTTGTGTTTCATGATGGTGATTTTGTTGTTTACAACTGCCCCCAAGCAAGAAGGCTGTGATGTGCCTTATGTAGAAAATACATGTGTTAGATAAGCTTTATTTAGCCATGAGCTATCATGCTGTTGGTCATGGTGAGTTCCAAGTTAATGGATTAACAACAGATATTAAATAAGTTGTCTTTAAGGAGAAACACAGGGCTTCCCAGGTGGCACTGGTGGTAAAGAACTCGCCTGCCAATGCAGGACACGTAAGAGACATGGGTTCGATCCCTGAGTTGGGAAGATCCCCTGGAGGAGGGCATGGCAACCCACTCCAGTATTCTTGCCTGGAGAATCCCCATGGACAGAGGAGCCTGGTGGGCTACAGTCCACAAAGTCATAAAGAGTCAGACACGACCGAAGCAACTTAGCACGCACGCAAGGAGAAACACATTTAAGATAAGTGTATGCTGCTTTGACTACGAAGAAAATGTGACCAGAGGCTTGCAGGAACTTCACCTTGAATTTCCTTTGGGAGCAATGGTTCAGTGAAGTGAAAGTCACTCAGTTGTGTCCGACTGTTTGCGACCCCATGGACTGAATTCTCCAGGCCAGGATACTGGAGTGGGTAGCCTTTCCCTTCTCCAGGGGATCTTCCCAACCCAGGGATCGAACCCAGGTCTCTCACATTGCAGGTGGATTCTTAGCCAGCTGAGCCACAAGGTTCAGTACAGTATCCTTAATTCAGTGTTCATGGCAAGTTTTTAGAACATAACTACAAGGAATAATGAGAATCAACTGTATTTCTTTCACTGGATTTTTAACTGTCTTCCTGCGCTTGTGTTATGGCTATGCTTTTCCTTCCTTGAAGATGACTGATTATGTTCCCTAAAGAGCAGAGGCTGGGTGGCCCCTACAGACAAGCGCTCACCCCAGTACTGCCTGCACTTCTGTGGCGCCTTTGTTCAGGTCACTAGCCCAGGAATCTGCTTTCTTCCCTCCTACTGACCTTTTGATTCAACCAGTGGTAAAGTCTTGACTGTGGTGGTCTGGAGCAGGTTTCGCAACTCCCCGTATGTGCAGGAAGCTGAAACAAACTTCACATCCCGTACCATGATGTCCTCAACAAAGATTGTAAATTTGCTATGGAGGGAGAAAGCACCGGGAAGGTTAGCCCCACCATATATGCCTGTCCCTTGGCTGTCCCTCCCACTCCTCCCATGAAGTTTTTTCCATGCATTTGATCACTCATAAAATTATTAAGTACATGGGAATATAAAAATAAATTTTAAAAAAGCGGTGCATCCAGACATCGACCCTAACCTCATTCTCAATCTCGGAAGCTCCCACCCGCACCCCATCAGATCTGAGCTAATTCCAGCTGGCGCCCCTGACCTGAGCTGGTTCCAGCCAAGGTCAGGCAAGTAGGGTAGCTTCTTGACCTGGATGATGCTGTCATAAAGGGAGGGCTGCAGGCTCTGAGCCACCATGTTGGCCAAGATAACAGCCACCATCATGGGCAGGATGTGAGCAATCTGACCCGTCAGTTCGAAGCAAATCACGGCCGTGGAGACTGTGTGGGACACCGCACCAGTCAGCGCTGCTGCTCCTGCAATCAGACACGGACGTGCACCCTGGGTTAGGGCTGCCTTTCTTGGCATGGCGGCTACGTGGGCGGTGTGATGGGAGTGACACGGCGGCGAGAGGTGACCCTGGGCAGTGCCCGCACTCCTGAGATGACCGTGCGTCAGGTGGGGGCTAGAATGCTGAGCTGTTAGAAGATCATTTTTATCTCATTCTACAACCTTTGGCAACTTAAAAAACTTTGTGTGTCCAAATTTTCATTATAAAATATGGTGATGTGCTATCTGTTCCTTGCTTTTAAACAATTGGGTCACTCTTAACTGAGTGTTTTAAAAACCCATTTACAGCATTTTATTTTGGGCCTCAGGTTCTGATGCCAGCAATTCATGAGCGGACTGAAAACCCAAGAATTCTGCTGTGGGCTTGGAGCAATAAGATCCTGATTCTATTTCTCAACTGTATGAGAAGAACTTAATCCTTCTGGAACCCCATGCTCTCATCTCTAAGGTGAAACGGGTCATTAGATAAGTTCTAAGGCCCTTGCAGGTCTAAAACATTATGATTCCATAAGCTCTTTGAAGATGGAATCTGTCTTACTTGTTTTTGGTTATGATTTCCCATCAGCCAAAGAGTCCCTAGTCCATTAACTTTATTTCTTATTTAAACATGGGAAGATATGCTATGAGAAAAGATGCTGGGGAAGCCACACATGAAAATAGAATAAGAAAAAGTCACAAAAGATAAAGATTGGGAGGAATGGTTTTACTGGATAGTGCATGCAATATACTACAGAACATTAACACAGGAGATATATATATATATATATATATCCCATATATAAGCCAATATATGTATGTGTGTGTGTATATATATACATAGGCTTCCCAGGTAGCTCAGTGGTAAAGAATTCACCTGCCAATGCAGGAAGCACAGAATACACGGGTTTGATCCCTGGGTCAGAAAGACCCCCTGGAGGAGGGTATGGCAACCCACTCCAGTGTTCTTGCCTGGTGAATCCTATGGACAGAGGAGCCTGGTGGGCTACAGTTCATAGGATCACAGAGTCGGACATGGCTGAAGTAACTTAGCACACATGCATGCGAAGGGAAATGTCTACCAGGGAGGTTGAAGGGATATCTGAGAGGCGTGAAGATAGGGAATAATAGCAGAATCAAGAAGTTTCCGTACAGAACTGTGATGGAGGACTAAGATCACCGTGTGTTCTATGAAGCTGGTTAGTTCTTCTATAGCAAAGGAAGCATGGCCTTAGATGTCATGGGATTTTGGTAAAGAGGAGAGGGAGGGAGGAAGCATAATAATTCTAGCGAATATCCTGGTCATTTTGTTAGACATGGTTTTTGGGTGGAAGGGACTATACATGTCATGGGAAAAGATAATCTCAGACTCTCAAAATGTTAGGAGTGTAAGACATCTCAAAGTCATTTTAGAATAAAGAAACTAAGGTGCAGAAAGGCAGGTAATTGCCCCATGGTCATCCAGTGACAAGAAGTAGGGATGAGACCAGAGCCCACATTTCTGAGCTCTTAGTCATGTGCTCCCAAAACTCATCAACATGAGCACACCTGCAGGTAGAAGTATTCGAGCCAGTCACAAGCACTGTTGTTTCCATGATTCTTTGGAGAAAAAGAAAAAGCCCTTACCAAATACTCAGAGGAAATCCTAGGTGTTCTCATCCTTATTATCTCATTTAATCCCTATAATCCCTATTCTGTGTGAAGAAATAGGGAGGCTCAAAGATGTTTAATGAGAGCTAATTAGAGTCAGAGCCAAGGGCTGATTATTTAAATAAAAGTTGAATTAAAGAGCATTAAATGAAGACCATTATTGTACAGCCTGGAATGCAGATGTTATGGGAGAGTCTGAGTGTGGGTACCTGGGGTTACAGAAGGGTGGAATGTGTCTTACCAATAACTGCGTAGCCCCCAGGTAGGATCTTGTAGATGATGTCATCAAATAAGATACCATCTGGGAAAAGCATGGCCATGATCTCTCCTACTAGCCTTCCGAATGCAGCTCCTAGTGAGAGACCAAAAGAAGGAAGATTTTGAGAGACTCAAGGTCTTTATCCTCCATTTTTTAAGAGCCAATGCCTCTTTGGGTGCTAAGACTGAACACAAGCCCCCAGTATTCCAGGCCTTTCCTTATTTTCACAGTACCCTAGCCTGAACCACCAGTAAGATCCCAGGCTTCCCATCAGAACTTACCAAGAACGAACACAGGCATGAAACCTCCGCAGGGTATGGGCATGGTGGTGGCCACGATGGACATCCAGAACTGGGGTAAAAAGAGGCATCAGCGCACTCTTTAGACTGTGTCCAACACACACACACACACACACACACACACCCACAACCCCCTTCCCACTACTTCTCTGCTTCTTGTTCCAAGAGTTACAGAAATCCTGGGAGAGCTAATCCTTCTGGAAGTCATCTTGTCTGTCACCTTCCCCCAGAACCAAAAAAAGCATGGAGCACTCAGGCTAAGATATCACCAAAGACAACATTATAAGAAGGTTCTTCCAGGCAGTTAACCCAAATCGCTCCTACTTGGAGTGACAATATTTGCCTTTAGGTGATCAAAACAAGGATTGGGGCCGCAGGGGACTCCTCTGTCACTGTCCCCAAAGGGCCCTAGCCCACTGTATCCTCTTAACCCCAAAAGGTCACCTCAGCAGAACAGCCTGAAGCTCTTGAACCTGGAGGATATCTTTTCCTGGCCGGACTATGTTTCTGAAAAAGAGCCTCATTTCCAAGTGGCAGACACCTTCAAATCATAGTGACTTACTGTGTGACTGATTTAGCTTCAGTAAGGTTATTTACAAAAAGCCATCTACATGGCAAACTTCACAAGGGAACCTGGAGTGAAGACGGCCCTGGCCGAGCCATTTGCTTTAACATTTTCCTTTAACATCAAATCACCTTCATTCAACAAAGATCAGAAAATCAGATCTGTCCTGACCCAACTTGCAAGGGCACATTGCAGGAGCCAGCTAAGCCAGCCAGTGTCATAGAAAAGAACTCCAAGGCCAAGGTAGTATTCCAAAAGGAATTGTGATGATTTTAGCAAAAGTAATATGTATAATTGCTTTACGATGTTGTATTGGTTTATGCCGTACATTTATCATTGTCTTTTGAGGTCAGCCCTGGCTCAAGCGAATCTCTCTAAGGTTCAGAAAATGAGAAACTTTATTTCTCATTAGTTTACAATAAAGTTGGTGCAGTTTTTCAGTTGTAAATATTTTTATCCTGGTAATTTGTTTTGCAGATGGTGACTGCAGCCATGAAATTAAAAGACTCTTACTCCTTGGAAGGAAAGTTATGACCAACCTAGATAGCATATTAAAAAGCAGAAACATTACTTTGCCAACAAAGGTTCGTCTAGTCAAGGCTATGGTTTTTCCAGTGGTCATGTACGGATGTGAGAGTTGGACTGTGAAGAAAGCTGAGCGCCGAAAAATTGATGCTTTTGAATTGTGGTGTTGGAGAAGATTATTGAGAGTCCCTTGGACTGCAAGGAGATCCAACTAGTCTATCCTAAAGGAGATCAATCCTGGGTGTTCATTGGAGCGGCTGATGCTGAAGCTGAAACTCCAATACTTTGGCCACCTCATGTGAAGAGTTGACTCACTGGAAAAGATCCTGATGCTGGGAGGGATTGGAGGCAGGAGGAGAAGGGGATGACAGAGGATGAGATGGCTGGATGGCATCACCGACTCGATGGACATGGGTTTGAGTAAACTCCGGGAGTTGGTGATGGACAGCCTGGCATGCTGCGATTCATGGGGTCGCAAAGAGTCGGACACGACTGAGCGACTGAACTGAACTGAATTTGTTTTGACCCTTAGCTGCTGTCATCCTTCACCAAATTAGTTTGAGACCTTTTTCTAAGATTGGTTTACTTATTTTGGAAGTCATATGTAAACCGGTGGCTTAATTTATATATTATGTCGCATATTTTTGTTTCTTTTACAGATATTTCAAAAGTTCAATCACTAGTCTTTTTCCCATTCTATTACTCAGTTCTTTTGCCTACTCTGCTGTGAACATGGGCTTTCCTTGTGGCTTAGCTGGTAAAGAATCTGCCTGCAATGTGGAAGACCTGGGTTTGATCCCTGGGTTGGGAAGATCCCCTGGAGAAGGGAAAAGCTACCCACTCCAGTATTCTGGCCTAGAGAATTTCATGGACTGTATAGCCCATGGGATCACAAAGATGAAAAACTGTACCAACTTTATTGTAAACTAGTGAAAATAAAGTTTCTCACTTTCTGAACCTTAGAGAGATTCCCTTGAGCGAGGGCTGACCTCAAAAGACAGTGATAAACATACGGCAGAAACCAACACAACACCGTAAAGCAATTTGCCCGCAATTAAAAATAAATTTAGAAAAAAGACAATGATAAAGGCTCTGAGAAGCCTTTGTCTCAGAAGCTCTGAGATCAAGCTAAATACATATTTGTCAGAATGCACGTGTGCATGCTAAGTCGCTTCAGTCGTGTTCAACTCTTGCAACCCTATAGACCTTTGCCCACCAGGCTCCTCTGCTCATGGGAGTCTCCAGGCAGGAATACCTCAGTGAGTTGTCATTTCCTTCTACAATTGTCAGAATAGAACTATTTAAAACAGCAAAGTTGAGAACAGCAGAGTTAAATGTATAAATGAAGAGGGTTGCAGATTGCAAATTCCTTGTGTGTGTTACAAGAGTTTGCCTTGTCTCTGCCTTCTCTCAGTACCAGCACAGTCTTCAGTAATTGCAGGTAGGATGTAGGTAGGTAGGAGGTAGGTAGGTAGGAGGTAGGAAGGTAAGTTAAGTAGGCAGGAAGGAAGGAAAGAAAAAAGAGTTTCGTCAAACAGTATTCATACAAAGCAGAAATGCTTCTCGGAGCTAATATTTGCTTAAAACACCCACCAGCAATGCTTGCAGGGGAACTTGTTTGAACTGTGATGAGCAGACATCACGGAAGGCTACCCCACTGGACTGTCTGGAGACGGAGTTCTAGATGCTGATAGTTTAAGCTTCTTAAGGGATCCTGACTCATAACATTTGGAAACCTCTTGAACTATTCCCTACTATCTCTTTGGAATAAGTACATGAAAGCCATAAGGGATTTTGTAGGCTCAGGTTAATCTGAAAGCTCCAGTAATACAGATAATAGGTGGCCGATGAGTCTGATTTCAGAGGATGAACTTTAGATTATCTTCCAAGATACGTGTAAGAACAGGATCAGCATCACAGGAAGCTGAAAGTTATCAATTCCTGCAGCACAGAGGTGGACGCTTGACACTAGCAAACTTTTTGAGTTGTTAGCACACAAAAGGGAAAATCCAGAAGCAGGGCAAATGATCTGGAACACAAATTACTCCCAAGATTTTAAGCCCCCAGTTCTAGAGAAGTGGGAAACTAGAGACCCCTTCTCACAGACTGTGTTTTATTTAGATGCTTCACAAGGAGGAACCAAGGGAAGAAGAGGCAAGAATTCTCCAGAGCCTCAGGCTGTATTGAGAACTCAATGATACTAGCTAATAACGTTAGACTCATTAAAAAGGAAATGGAGATGTTGTAATCATATTCATACTCATTAGAGACGCACCAGACTCACAACAAGATGATAACTTTCCGTGTCTTAAAATTGAGAAGATGGAAGTTCCCTTCATCAGTGTTTTATAAAAGAGCTGAACTGAGAATCCAATCTGTGAACACGGATACTGCCAGAAGACCACATGGGCTAAATTTCAAATCAGACTGTGGAAAAACAGTTCTAGTCAATTCTATGTTTTAATGTGGTTAGGTATCTTTACTGTCCCCATTTTGGAAATAAGGGTATGGTCATATGTCCAGTGATAGGAGAGTGAAGAGGCTGGAAGCAGTGATAACTAGGTAATGTAGATTTATAGCAGTGGATGGTTTTACATTTAGAATATTATAGAATAGTACAGGCTGGCTGCAAACTGTTGGGCTTGAAATATAGCCCAAGAAATGTGAGCTGCTTTTCTTTAAAAAAATTATTTATTTATTGGCTGTGCTGGGTCTTTGTTGCTGCCCAGGCTTTTCTCTAGTTGTGGCAAGCGAGGGCTCCTCTCCAGCTGTGACAGCACTTCTCGTCTCTCACTGTGGAGCACAGGTTCCGGGGCACCCCGACTTCAGTAGTTGTAGCTCCCGGGTTCCAGAGCACAGGCTCAATAGTCATGGTGCACGGGCCTATCTGCTCCGTGGCATGTGGGATCTTCCCAGAGCAGGGATCATACTCGTGTCTCCAGCACTGGCAAGTGGATTCTTTATCACTGAGCTGCCAGGAAAGCCCCAAGTTTCTTTTCTGGATTCTCTTATATGTAGACATTAATGAGGAAGTAATTAAGTAAGAAATTAGTGAGTGACATACAGCTTAGTCCTTCTATATAATCCAAGTAGGTTTCTCAGAATAAACCTCATTCTGTAAAGTGGGATCCAGAGATATGCTTGGGAAATATCTGGGGAAATGAGGGGAGGGATGAAGGAGATGTTGAAAATATATACAGAATTTTGTTTCTCCAAAAACTTTCAAATGCTTACTGTTTCAAAAATATATATGACCCCAAAGAAACAGTTCAATCTAGAGGAGTATCACAAACACAGAATTATTATCATTGAACAAGAAATCCTGAGATGCCATCAAAACTTGGACTTGGTTGCTGCAGATGGGTTTGTATGCTCAACAGCTAATTACAAGTAGCTGGGGTTTATAAATTAGAGAAGATAAACTCTATAATGAAAAATCAGATCTCTAGCAAGACACGGAGAAGTTTATGACTAAAAAATATCAAATCTTTTGAAGGAAGAAATGAAAATGATCTAATTAATAAAGTGGGTGTGCAAAATATGGAAGCCATAGACCCAATTAACCCACGTAGAATGGAATAAGAAACAGAATACATAAATGCAGCTCCCAGAACCCCAAAGCAAATCCTGAAAACATAAGTGACAGAGCTGGAACCTGGTATGTCAAGGATTTGGTATCTCTAATCATAAGACCGTTGACAATCACATTAAATGAGCAGCCAAAAATCAATTAGAAATTTTTAAATAACTTTTTCCAACCACAAGCATTAGATATGCCAAAGATCAATAATCAAGTATCTCATATTTGGCACACAGTAGGTGCATTAGAACACTTATTAAATAAATGGATGAATGAACAAACTACAGCTATTACAGTATAACCTAGTGACTCATATCCTATGGAAATAGTTTCACAGTAAGTATCAAGAATAAGTTGCACACCACAACTAGACAGTAGCCCCCACTCGCTGCAACTAGAGAAACCCCACGTCCAGCAACAAAGACCCAGTGCAGACAAAAATAATTAATTTTTAAAAAAAGATTCTCTTTAAAAAAGAATAACTTAATAAACATGAAAGTTCAATGTGGACAGAACTCTCTGACTTTGGTAAATTATATGGGAATGAAGAACAGAAGAACTGCCTTTGCTGGTGAATTCTTAAAAGGCAAGTTATCCAGTGATAACACCAACCAGGACACTCCTTATGCATGATTCTGAACATCTAGATGCCTCCTGCTTTATTGTCTATATTTTAATTTAAACGTATCAAGTTTTGTGGATTCATCTAAAGTCTGCCCAAAAGTACTGTTAAATCCACTAAAATGTATGTAAAAGATTGTGCTATAGACTAAAATAGAATCGTTACTTGGATTTGTTAAAAAAAAATCATATGAAAACCCTAACATATAGAGAAAAATCATGGGCTATTCAGACAAGGTTTAGCCACTAAATCATGTCTGACTCTTGCGATCCCATGAGCTGGAGCCCAAGCGGCTCCTCTGTCCATGGGACTCTCCAGGTGAGAATATTGGAGTGGGTTGCCATTTTCTGCTCCAAATATATACAGGAAAATCATGGGCTATTCAGACAAGACATACTATTAATAATGAGGCAATCATCAAAAAGAGAGAAAAAGACAAACAGCAATTATAACAGATGTCACAACCAGGGGTGGAAATAAAAATAACCTGTACAAGGCAGTAACTGAAAAGTCTATAACCATGTGATCCTTGATGGGAAGATATGAGAAAGAACCAATGTAAGTAAAAGAGATCAGCTTTTGTTTCCTAACTTAAGTTAGAAGAAAATGGTTTAAGAATGAATGGCAAAATCCTCACAGCCTCACTACCTCAACAGAGAATAATAATGTTGTAAAAATTATTTATAGTCACTAATAAAATGGATTTAAATATTTTATCTCTTTTGCAATTCTAGAGAAGAGATTATCCACCAGACTGGGAGAAAAATGGATATGCAAATCATCTGAAAATGGGTAATCAGATGCTGGAGATGAAGTACCTAATTATCTAATATGTGGAGAGATTTGGTTAATTTATCTGAGGTCTTCACACAGTTATTGTATTGCTTAAGCTCTGTCTTGTCCCTATTTACTCAGCGGCTGCGGTGTCTCAATAATTTAGCAAGTGGAACCTTTAGAAGGGTTATAATAATTATGACAACATCATAAAGTTGACATGAATGGAACATTAACCCAGATACTGGTTCAGTTTTCTAGATGAGCAACTTATTAATACTTAGGCTCTGATTTCCAAGTTGTTCCTTTTTAGGTTGGACAAAGACCAGGCCAAGTTTTACCCTTCCCTACCTTATGGAGAAGGAAATGGCACCCCACTCCAGTACTCCTGCCTGGAAAATCCCACGGATGGAGGAGCCTGGTAGTCTACAGTCCATGGGGTCGCAAAGAGTCGGACACGACTGAGCGACTTCACTTTCACTTTCACCTCATGCAAAGGAGCTTCCCTAGAGGCTCAGACGGATTTCATGATTTCACAGGTGGCGCTGCTGCTGCTGCTGCTAAGTCACTTCGGTCATGTCCGACTCTGTGTGACCCCATAGACAGCAGCCCACCAGGCTCCCCAGTCCCTGGGATTCTCCAGGCAAGAATACTGGAGTGGGGTTGCCATTTCCTTCTCCAATGCATGAAAGTGAAAAGTGAAAGTGAAGTCGCTCAGTTGTGTCTGACTCTTAGCGAACCCATGGACCGCAGCCTACCAGGCTCCTCCTATTTCCTTCTCCACAGGTGGCGCTAGTGGTAAAGAATCTGCCTACCAATGCCTGACATGCACGAGGAAATGGCACCCCACTCCAGTCCTCTTGCCTGGAAAATCCCATGGACAGAGAAGCCTGGTGGGCTACAGTCCATGGGGTCGCAAAGAGTCGGATACGCGGGGCGTGCGCGCACACACACACACACCCCTTATACAAACCCTGGTTCCTAGGTTGAAAACAGAAGCTCAGGGAGTCAGGGTTGTAGGGGGAGGTACCTTCATGATGAAGAAGAGGAGGAGGACGATAACAACGCTGGCTTTGGGGTGGATCCACACAGCTGACCGGCCCAGGCTCTCGGGGTCCCCGGTATGTTTTACCCACGTATTGTTGTCAAACAGGGTACTGATGGCTTCCCGAGGCATCAGCTGTGAAAGGAGGAAGCAAAAGGGAGCAGTTCTCCAGAGATGTTCGGTACTTCCATTTTTTTAAAGAGAACCGATTCCCTGGTCTCATTTTTCATGGGTCCCTTTCCGCTTTTTTCTCAGGGAGCGATGCCATCTGTGGGCAAAAGCACGTATGCTCAGAAGCCCGAGGGTCACCTGCACCGCTTCCTCTTTTCCATGTGGTCCCATCCTGGTTTAGTCTCAGTGACCTGACCCCCACCCTCAAAGGTCACCCTTGGAGCTGACCTCTCCAGCCATAAACTGCCCTATTCCTGGTGGAAAGGTGAAGGAGGCGATGACAAAGGTGACGATTCCAGGATAGAGCAGGCGGCTGGAAAAGAAACAGGATTAATTACTTAGAATTAATCCTCATCCTGATTTGGCCAACCCACAGTGGATGCCACACTGGACCCTGGGAATCCGAAGTTTTCTGGCGTCCCCTGTGGTCTCAGGCCATTAAACGGAGCACTCTCTCCACCAATAAGCAATCTTTAAAGGGGAAACCACACCGCTCATCCCTAGTAGGGTATCCGGGCTTCTGTATTTTATCACAAGCCACCAAAAGGCATTTAACGCCTTCCACCAAGATTAAAAGGGAGGAGAAACCAGAGAGTAAACGGGTAGGGCAGTGACTCACTGCTTAGCCAGAAATTGGCTGAGGGCTTTGTGCTTTCGGACGCCGAGCATGACTTGGCGATGCAGATACACAAACACAGCTCCCAGGAACCCACAGCAAATCCTGAGGGTGTAAGCCATACAGAAATGAAACCTTCATCCCTCGGCCCTGGCCACTGCAGGGAAGCAAATACCAGGCATCCACCTGCCCTTTCTACCCACCTCCCCCCCAGCAATTTCCACCGTACCCCTGCCCATGCCAACTTCCCAGCTTGGGTCCTTTCCAATCCAAAGCTATGCCCCAGCCCTGGCCCCCCCACTCCCAGAGCAGCCAAGCCCACTGACCCGATAATCGCAAAGGCTGGGAGTTCCTGCAGGTCAAAGGGGAAGTCCATTCGGAAATTGGTTCTGAAGAGGGCTGTGATGGTGACTACAGGATGGAAAGACCACAGTCATGGTGGGAGAGTGTCACAGAAGCCATCGAGAAGGACCCAAGGTCATCAGCCTTCAGGATTAAAGCTTCCTCCAAACCCACCATCCCCTCTATTTAATTTCTTTTTCCTAACACTACTGGCAGAGACAGGCTTCCCTGGTGGTTCAGCAGTTAAGAATATGCCTGCCAAGGCAGGAGATGCAGATTCGATGCCTAGATCAGGAAGATCCCCTGGAGAAGGAAATAGCAACCCACTCCAGTATTCTTGCCTGGAAAATTCCATGCACAGAGGAGCCTGGTGGGCTACAGCCCATGGGGTTGCAGAAGAGTCAGACACGACTTAACGACTAAACAACTGGAAGAGACACCCCCCTACTCCATGACCTGTACCCTTGCCCTCTATATACCCTTGGGCCTTAGTCCCACTTCCTAGATGATGCTTCCCATGTTACCAGCATCCTTGTTCCACACGGCCAGCACTCGGAAAACAAAGGCGCTGAACGTGGCTGCAAAGAATCCTCGCCAGTAGTTCCTCACAGCGAAGTAGGTAGAGGTGACCTCGATGCTAAACAGCACTCCTACGGGGCAAGGAAATCAGGTCAGGTGCAGGCCAGGGTAAGGCTCTCTCCCACACCCCCACCCCAGGCAGCCCAGGAGCTTTGGCTCCTTGAGCCACGAGGGGGAGCAGTAGTGGAAACGGATGGTCTCTTGGAGTATACCATGCTCTAAACCATATACCTGCCCATGCTAGCAGTTTTTGCAGACCAGAGAGATGGTCCAACAAGATACAGAGAGGATGGAAAATGAAGGGGGTTTAACCCACAACACGTGAAGGTCGTGCCTGTTCCACCCCTTTGAAATCAGGGATGGGTGGAATTCACAGTTGTCTGATATCCACAGGGATCTGAAAATTTTCTGCAGAAAAGTTACAAGAGGGAAAACTTCCACAGTGAGTGCTCACCAGAGTACTAAGCAGAGCTCAAGATTTAAGGGGACTACCCATAATGCCCCCCCCCCAACCCCACAATCTCTCCTCCCTTCTCCCACATGCCATGTACCATGGCAACGTTTAGGGAAGAAATAAGAAAAACAAAAAGGAAGGGACTTTGTAAGAGCTGACAGTACTCAGTATTCCAAGAGAGGATTCATTAATATTTTTTTAAATTAAACTGTAAAAACCTGACTTAAAAGGACCAGATCCAGCAGGGGAAACCAAGAAGCTCAAAGAAGTTACAAACCATTATGCTCAAGAAAGGAGGGTGAGGTAGAAGGCAAGCTAATTGAGAGTCCTAAGTTGTCCTGTTTCTGAGAGTAGATGCTGGAGCAGAAATGAGAAAGTAAATAAACAGAAAAATAGCAAGAGCTGGTGGAAACAAAGGAAGGAAGCTAACAAGGGCATAAAAGACTCAAGAGATACAAAGAAAATAACCTTTACACATACCACGAATAGGAGAGAAGACTATGATTAGATGCAAAGTGGAAACTGACAACAGAATTACCTAACACCTGGCTAAGCCTCATTTTTATCAGAGCTGAAGAAGGAAAACAAGAAATGCACATCATCGTTGCCACCAGGCCTGGCCACACCACCCGCCCTCATTGGACCATGCAAAACCCGTGTCCACATGCCCGCTGGGGATGTTTCTTCCCTAGCCCCGCCCCCGCGCCACCATGTGACCTATACGTCACGTCCGGTGGCTTTGTAGTCCTTAAGATGAGGTGAAAGTGACTTCCGGAAGGGCCGAAGGCATTTCCGTTTAAGATGAACTTAAGGTCAGGCGGGCGCGGGTGCTCGCTATTTTATGTCGCCCCCAGCCTGACGCTCCTGATTGCCTTGGGCCTCTTCTGATCCACAGTCCTCAGTTGCTGTGGGAAGAGCCTAGCTTCAGAGTGAGCCTTGGGTTTGAACCCTGGGTCTGCCATTCATTGACTGGGTGACCTTGTGTGACCGTGAGTGGAAAGAGCCTCAGGAAAGCCTGTGAACTAGGTCGGGTTACTGTCTCTTGCTTCTCTGTGGCTACTGGATGGCTGAGACCCTCCACCCCCCCACCCCACAACCCCACCACCTGCTTCCCATTTCCCGTGGCCTCTCACATCCAAGCCATTTTCTTCCCCTTGTTCTAGATTCCGAAAGTCACATCTCTTGATTTCTCAGGATTCCAGCCCTTTCTGCTGCAGGTGACAGTCAATGGTGATAGGAAGTCATTTATGCCACAGCGAGGGTGGCCTAATGGTTGCTCCCATGTGGAACAGCTGCTGGATTTGGGCAGAGGATATATTGTGGTTCCCCTTCTCTGGGATCCCCAACCCCCCTCTGCAGGTAAAAACAGTCCCTCCCTTATCTTGTTTTCTGGGAATTTGGGGCATCAGAGCACCTGTTAGCACTTTCAGAGGTAGTTCTCTATTTACATCTCTAAGGTCCCCCTGGGACTGAAGTTTCTTTGGATTCCTAACACCTAACAAGGTGATGCCTGGTACATCCTCAGGGCTCAAAGCCTTGTCCTATGGATGAGGGGGGGGGAGGGGGGGGAGGGGAGGAGGGAGGTGGGGGAGGGAGGGGAGGGGAGGGGGGAGGGGGGGAGGGAGGGGAGGGGAGGGGAGTGGAATTTCAGAAAACGGGGAATCTGAGGGACAGCACTTTGCCAACCAACCCTCACCGGCCCCTGCTCCCCAAATCTCATCAGGCTCGGCAGCTGCTCCCTTGGCCTAAAAGGATTTGGGGTGTCAGGGGTGGGGGGCGTCAGGCAGAACAAACTGCTCCTTTTCTTCAGCAGTAACAAAAAGTCAGACACGACTGAGTGACTGAACTGAACAAAACCAAAGTTGGCTCTGATCTGTCGAAATGTAAACTATCCAACTTACGAATATTTAACAACCAGCTTTTGAAATCCTAGGCTAGATTTCCCATCTCGAGTTCTGGGACACGTTCTCTAACAGTCTGTCACTGTGTACTTCGGAACGAGAGTGAATTTTCGTATTTGCCTGAGCCAAACAGAAAATGTGCTGCTAAAAGGAAACAAAGCATTAACAAACACAAACAGCATTTGGAAACTCTCTGGTCTCCTAGGTTCCATAACATCTCTGTCTTTCCCACCCTGGAGGCTCCTCTCTGTCTCCTCCTCTGGCGCCATGGGCCTTGATCTCTGACTCTTGCGACTCGTAGATCCACTTTTTCAACTTCATTTATGCAGATGGCTTTAACTACCACCCCTGTGCTAACCGATGGGTTGACAAAGCCATGCTTTCAGCTCAGTTCCTGGACTCCAGACTCAGCAAGCCAGCTGCCTATTTGATGTCACTTGGAGATGTCACAGGAACTTCAAATTCAATGTATTCAAAGCAAAATTTGTCAACTCTCTTAGACCTGTTTCACTTCCTATATTTCCTATCTTGCTTGCAACACCACTATCCACCGCATGTTCCTCCTTGTAAAACTGAAAGTTAGCCTAGATTCCTCCTCCTTTCTTATCTTTCATAACCTCGCATAAATCAGCCACCAGGTCCCACTCATTTTCTTTTCTATCACCCTTATATACCATCCTGTTATCTGTCGCCTCCGCCTCCACCCAGTTCAGTCTCTCACCATCTAGCATCATCAGGACTATGACAATAGTCTTCTTGTTAATCCTGGATAAATCCTGTTAATCCACAGGCCAGTTCTATCTGGCCAAAGCTGGCCTTGTTTGAAACTCTTCCCCGACTCCCCTTCACCCACGACAGCATTTCCCAAAGTCGGGTCCATGAAATACTACGAGTTCCATAAAGAGGGTCCTTGCAAAAAGGATTCTGCGGGAAATACTGTCTTTGAGCCACACGTGGGATATTCACAGGGCATGTCAGCATATTGAACGTTCTGAGACCTCTTCCCATTTAAAAAACTATCTATTCAACACAGTATTTTCCAACGTATCTGATCTTGGAACACTGTTTACATGTTATATCTGTTAACACCATGAATTGTGTTCTGTACAACACATTCAGGCAAACTCTAGCCTAGAGAGTGAAACTAACATTCTTGTGCATTTCCTATGAAGACCTTCATGAATCACCCCCCAGGTACCTGTCCAGACTCATTTCCTGTCATTTCTTCCCCTGTGTCCTCTAGTAATACTCATGTATTGACATTCTATTCCTGTATGTCTTGACTTTGCAATGCTGTCTCTTCTCTCCAGAATATTCTTTGCACTTTGCCCAGGCTGTTACTGGGATGCTTCTCTGAGTGGGTTGTGACGGTCTGCTGGCCTTCCTCTCTACCCTTTCTGCTGTGGGTACCTGTAAGCATAGTAACTAGCACAGTGAGAGAGGTGCTGCCTCTGCTCACCACAGAGGGCATATATGTAAACAAAAACATGCTTGTCGTTTTAGCCAAAGGTTGAAGTAGATTTCATCAGTGTAAGGCATTAAGAGTTGGCTACAGAGTGAATAAATTACTCTAATACTAGTTTTTTTCTTCTAGAATTAATCCATATTTGTAAAATAAAGCTATCAAATAAGGTTATCTGCAAGTTCATTTAATATTTGCCACTTACTACAAACATCCTAAAAGTAAACATTTTAACTTTTCAATGCTTAACATTTTCTTATGTCAACTTATGTCAAGAGCCATGTTTTATCTGTAACTTAACTATTTGCCTCTCTCAGTCTCTAGACAAGATCATGAACCTTCCTCATTCATCTCAGAAGTTCTGGTTTTATGCAAATATATATATATATATATATATATACACACATAATATTCTCTTCACTTTAAAAGAATCTGGATTAAAAACAAAACAACAAAAAAATGCTACCCTTCTAAAAGTGTTCTTCAGTAGTACAAGCAGGATGCCAGCTAACTCGTTTGCAACCTATCTCCCTCATGCTGTGTGCATTGCTTTAGCGTCAGTTCAAGTGACCTTGGTACATTTTCAGTAACTGTTAATGTTTGTCCATGTATCATTCCTGAGCCAAGTCATCTTGGTTTCCTGAAAAACTCTTCAATGAAAGGACTGATTACATTTTCATAATTGAAAGATACCTCTAACAGCTGGTGCATTTATGAAGCAGATGCCTTTCCTGCAATTCTGCTTCTCCAATGGTTAACATGGTACCTTTTTTTATCACCAATGAATCCAACCAGTGATCTATATAATCCTTGCTCTGTTAATCTGGTTACAACTGTTATCAGTGAGTAAATAAACAGATACAGCAGCTGTCTCTGACCATGCACACTTGTTAGTCATACAGGACAAGGAAAAAGTCTGAAAAGTTGCCCTTTGTCTAACATTAGTAGAGAGAGCTAAACTCAACTTTACATTGTGATCAAGAAAAAATGAGCCTTTAATTCTCATCTGTAGTCCTCATCTAAAGCTGACCATTGGCACTTCCTTGGTGGTTCAGTGGTTAAGACTCTTGAGTTCCCAATGCAGGGGGCCAGGTTCAATCCCTGGTCTGAGAACTAAGATCCCGCATGCTGTGCAGTGTGGCCAAAATAAAAATAAAGCTGACTATTCATCTAAATGTCTTTCCAGGTGATGCTAGTGGTAAAGGAACTGCCTGCCAATGCAAGAAATGCAGGAAATATAGCTTCCATCCCTGGGTCAGGAAGATCCTCTGGAAGAGGAAATGGCAACCCATTTCAGTATTCTTGCTGGAAAATCCTATGGACAAAGGAGCCTGGCAGGCCACAGTCCATGGGGTTGCAAAGAGTTGGACACAACTGAGCACACTGCAGATGGTGACTGCAGCCATGAAATTAAAAGACACTCCTTGGAAGGAAAGTTTTGACCAACCTAGATAGCATATTGAAAAGCAGAGACATTACTTTGCCAACAAAGGTCTGTCTAGTCAAGGCTATGGTCTTGCAGTCTTTCCAGTGGTCATGCATGGATGTGAGAGTTGGACTGTGAAGAAAGCTGAGCGCTGAAGAATTGATGCTTTTGAACTATGGTGTTGGAAAAGACTCTTGAGAGTCCCTTGGACTGCAAGGAGATCCAACCAGTCCATCCTAAAGGAGATCAGTCCTGGGTGTTCATTGGAAGGACTGACGCTGAAGCTGAAACTCCAATACTTTGGACACCTCACACGAAGAGTTGACTCATTGGAAAAGACCCTGATGCTGGGAGGGATTGAGGGCAGGAGGAGAAGGGGATGACAGAGGATGAGATGGCTGGATGGCATCACCGACTCGATGGACATGAGTTTGAGTACACTCCATGAGTTTGAGTACACTCTGCGAGTTGGTGATGGACAGGGAGGCCTGGCGTGCTGCAATTCATGGAGTCGCAAAGAGTCGGACATGACTGAGTGACTGAACTGAACTGAGCACACACACACATTAACCTAAATAAGGTCAACTTAAACTCCCAAGAAAGGCAATGCCAAAGAATGCTCAAACTCCAAAGAAAGGCAATGCCAAAGAATGCTCAAACTACCACACAATTGCACTCATCTCACACGCTAGCAAAGTGATGCTCAAAATTCTCCAAGCCAGGCTTCAACAGTACTTGAACTTCCAAATGTTCAAGCTGGATTCAGAAAAGGCAGAGGAACCAGAGATCAAATTGCCAACATCCGTTAGATCATAGAAAAATCAGTAGAGTTCCAGAAAAACATTTACTTCTGCTTTATTGACTACGCCAAAGCGTTTAACTGTGTGGATCACAACAAACTCTGGAAAATTCTTCAAGAGATGGGAATACCAGACCACCTGACCTGCCTCCTGAGAAATCTGTATGCAGGTCAAGACACAACAGTCAGAACTGGACATGGAACAACAGACTGGCTCCAAACCAGGAAAGGAGTATGTCAAGTCAAGCAGTATATTGTCACCCTGCTTATTTAACTTATACTCAGAGTACATCAAGAGAAACGCTGGAGTGGAGGAAGCACAAGCTGGAACCAAGATTGCCGGGAGAAATATCAATAACCTCAGATATGTAGATGACACCACCCTTACGGCAGAAAGTGAAGGGGTAAAGAGCCTCTTGATGAAAGTGAAAGAGGAGAGTGAAAAAGTTGGTTTAAAACTCAACATTCAGAAAACTAAGATCTGGTATCTGGTCCCAATACTTCATGGCAAATAGATGGGGAAACAGTGGAAACAGTGGCTGACTTTATTTTTGGGGCTCCAAAATCACTGCAGATGGTGACTGCAGCCATGAAATGAAAAGACACTTACTCCTGGAAGAAAAGCTATGACCAACCTAGACAGCATATTTAAAAACAGAGACATTACTTTGCCAACAAAGGTCCATCTACTCAAAGCTATGGTTTTTCCAGTAGTCATGTATGAATGTGAGAGTTGGACTATAAAGAAAGCTGAGTGCCAAAAAATTGATGCTTTTGAACCATGGTGTTGGAGAAGACTCTTGAGAGTCCTGTGGACAGCAAGGAGATCCAACCAGTCCATCCTAAAGGAAATCAGTCCTGAATATTCATTGGAAGGACTGATGTTGAAGCTGAAACTCCAGTACTTTGGCCACCTGATGTAAAGAGTTGACTCACTGGAGAAGACCCTGATGCTGGGAAAGATTGAAGTTGGGAGGAGAAGTGGATGACAGAGGATGAGATGGCTGGATGACATCACCAACTTGACGGACATGAGTTTGAGTAAGCTCCAGGAACTGGTGATGGACAGGGAGGCCTGGAGTGCTGTAGTCCATGGGGTCGCAAAGAGTCAGACATGACTGAGCAGCTTAACTGAACTGAAACTCCCATGCCCTTAACAACATACAAGCAAAGGTCAGTCTTCCTTTGGAGAAGAAAATACATACAGATGTCAAGTATATAGAGATGTCAATTATACTTCAATTAAAATAACAAAAAATGAATGATTAAAGAGCAATATATATATATATATATATATATATATATATACACACACACACATACATACAGAAGCCCCCTGTTAGAAGATGTAATAAGTGAAGGGCAAAAATATCCAACAGTACAAAGGGCTGTCTAGCTTCCTGGGTGGCACAGTGGTAAAGAATCCGTCTGCCCGTATTGGAGACACAAGAGACATGGATTCAGTCCCTGGGTTCAGAAGAGCCCCTGGAGGAGGAAATGGCAATGACAAACTATGCCAGTTTTCCTGCCTGGGAAATCCCATGGATAGAGGAGCCTGGAGGGCTATAGTCCATGGGGTCGCAAAGAGTCAGATACAACTGAGCACTCACAAACACAATATAAGTAGGGGTCCCACAGAGGCCACCTCGGTTTTCCTTCCTGGTTCTCCCACTTACTCAGAGCAAGTCACTTACTCTCTCTTCTTTAATATCAACCTCATACAGCTCTGGGCAGGAAGGGATGTAAAGTCTTTAGAACACTGCCTGCAATAGTAAATGCTCACTAAAAGCTATCTTGCTTTACCCTTGTTTAAACTGGTAATACTTAAACTTGGGGACGCTGGCAGTAACCATTTTGGGAGCAAGAACAGGCAAGTGCACTGATGCAGGAGCGGGTACATCACTTGCCTCCAAGAGGTGTCCCAAAACAGCAGCCGACTCCCACGGCACAGCCCACCGTCAGCATGTCAGTGTAATAGTATGGCTGCTACTAGGGGACAGACAGACAGAGGGCAAGAGGCAGGGAGGGGAAGGAGAACAGGCAAGGAGGGAGGACAGAGAAGGAGAGACTTGAGTCACAGGGAATCCATCACAGGGGCCCCCATCTCCCCAGGGCTGTCCCACGCCAGGAGAAACTCAGTTAGTTTGGCAAACAGGAAGTGATCTCATAGCGCAAAGCCAGACATAGAAAATGAACCAGTTAGGCAAATTTTCGGAAGGCAGGTAAGCCTAAAGGGTCACCAGAGAGGGGGGCTGGGGACAATCGGGCCCAGAAGTGATAACAGGAAAGGGCTTTGGACAAATGGCATGGAAGAGCCAGCAGCTGCTAAAAGAACACACAACTCTCTGGTTTAGTGAGTGATTCGGGATGTGATTCGGGGTCACTCCCTGAAAGGCCCACCCCCATCCCCCTTCCGCGAGCAGCCCCCACCCCCACCCCATCCCAAAGCTTATGAGAGCACCCCCCCACCCCACCACACACACCCCCTCAGGCCAACTGGGATAGGGAGGAAGTGAAACTTGCCTCCGACAGGGGCTGCGAAGCAGCAGCCCACGCCCACAGCGCAGGCCGATACCAGGAGGTCAAGCTGCCCAGGCACGGTCTGCAACAGAGGAGCGCGCGGACCAGGCGTGGAGGGCTGCGGCGCAGCCGGAGTGCACAAGACGCGGGGTGGAGGACCAGGAACGACAAAGGGACGGGGCTGGCCCCCGAGGGAGACGCGGAGGGGAACTGACACGGAGGCCGGTGGAGGAGCGGACCACGTGCGACATCCCACCCCCCCGGAGGGAGGGCGGCAAGGGACCAGCAAGGGCTTAAACAGCGGCATCGTTTGGCTGGAGGAGGCAGGCCGGGGGCACGTGGATGCAGGCTGCAGGAGGCGGGGTTAGCGCAGTGCCTGGCTCAGCATCGCGGCCAAGGCAGCCCACCGTGCCGCCAGCGCGCACAGCCCCGCCTCCTTCGCCCTTCTCAGCCTTACCTCATACACCCCACAGAACACCGACATGAACTTGCTGAGGATGGCTGCGCAGATGCTGGCAATGTGAACAAAAGGGCCCTGGAAGAGAGGGGGTGGTCGAGGGGTCGGGGGGGGGGGGCTTGATGACATTCTTGGACAGACATCGGTTGCTCCGGACACTGTACCAGGGGCTAGAAATACAGCTAAGATAGAGGTTGTGCCTTCGCAGAGGTTCATCCCAGGGAGGAAGGGAGTTGATGCCCAGCACATTGTCATTTCAGAAAATTCTAGGGGTTGTGAAGAAACTGACTAGTCAAAACTATGGTTTTTCCAGTAGTCATGTAGGAATGTGAAAGTTGGACATAAAGAAGGCTGAGCGCCCGAAGAACTGATGCTTTCGAACTGTGGTGTTGGAGAAGACTCTTGAGAGTCCCTTGGACTGCAAGGAGATCCAACCAGTCGATCCTGAAGGAAATCAGTCCTGAATATTCATTGGAAGGACTGAGGCTGAAGCTGAAGCTCCAGTACATTGTTGACCACCTGATGCGAAGAGCTGACTCATTGGAAAAGACCCTGAAGCTGGGAAAGATTGAAGGCAGGAGGAGAAAGGGACGACAGGGGATGAGATGGTTGGATGGCATCACCAACTCAATGGACATGAGTTGTAGCAAACTCTGGGAGATAGTGAAGGACAGGGAAGCCTGGTGTGCCGCAGTCCATGGGGTTGCAAAGAGTCAGACACGACTGAGCAGCTGAACAACAGAAGAGAGAGAGGAAAGACACGGGTGGGGTGGGGAAGGTCACAACTGAGTAGGGCCTTGATGGACATGAAAATAGGAGCCATGAGGGTCTCGGTAGAAGAAAGTTCCAGGCTGAGGGCACAGCAAATGCAGGAACCTGGAGAGGGGGGCAGACCTGGTGGCTGAAGGGCAGAAAGTGCCTTGTCACTCCAGCAACGGGAAGGGGGAGTAGCCTGGGAGGACAGAAGCCGGGACAGAGAGGAGCCTAATCACCACAGGCTCCGGGAAAGAAGTTTGGACTTCATTTTGAAAGGAATGGAGGGACTTCTTGGGGCGGTGGGGGTGGGGGTCCAGTGGTTAAGACCCTGCCCTTCCACCACAGGGGGTGTAGGATCCATCCCTAGTCAGGGAACTAAGATCCCACGTGTCAAATGGCCAAAAGAAAAAAAAAAAAAAAAAAGGAATGAAAAGTCATTTTAAGTTCCTAACCAAAGGGCAGTTATTCCTGATAGCATTTCGAAAGATAACTCTGGTTGCAGCAGGGCAAGAAGTTACATTAACTTCTTACAAGGTTACAAGTAACCTTGAAAAAAAGCACAGCCTCCTTTAGGTCTCAGTTTTCACAGGGTTTATCTGGATTGTCTCTAAGGCAGTGGTTCTCAGCTGGGAGAGATTCTGCCTCCAGGGGTTCGTCACAACGCCAGGCTGCTGCTGGCTTGTAGGAGGGACAGGCCGTCCTACAAACGCACAGGACGGCCCCCTAGCACCAAGAATTACTCAGCCCCAGATGCCAGCACTGAGTGCCCCAAAGGTGAGACTCTGCTCTAAGCTACTCCCAGCTCTGATGTTTTTTGTCATTGTGCCCCAGGGTGCGGACCTTCCCTGGTAGCCTAGGAATCCCGTGGTCCCAGCCTCCGCATTCTCCCCAGCTCCCTCTAGACTCTGTGGCGCCCTCTGCTGGAAGGCCTGCCCCGCTCACCCCGCAGGAACTGGAGTCTTACCTCTTTCCCCACAGGAATGCCACTGCCCAGTCCTGCGGTCAGGGCCACTACCTTGGCCACGAAGGCCTTGAGGGTGAGATACTCCTTCAGGACCACCCCGCGAAGAATTGTCTTCATTTCAGGGATTCCAGAGCCTAAAAGCGCGTTGTTGTTTTAAGTGATTATGTGCAACTTTAAGCTGGAGGTTAAAGGTAGATGGACATCCAGACTTGGGGGTGGAGCGAGAGGTCAGAGGGGGGAGGGGGAGGTGAGCGGGGAAAGGGGGACAGTGGCGAAGCCGAGAACAGACTTGGGAGGGAGCGGAGGAGGGGCGTGCCAGGTCTACAGGCCCCTGAGATGCTGTGGGTTATGGTGATGGCGCCGCGGTGGGATCTGGGAAATTCTCACCGACGGCCTGGGGAGAGATGAGCTGGCAGAAGAGGGCGCTGAAGAGGATGAGGATTAGGGGGAAGCCGACCCAGACCAGGAACTGCAGAGGCAGGCTGGGCTGCATCTGGTAGTAGGACCACTTGTAGGCTGCGGAGACAGGAGTCCGGGCTCAGTCTTACAAGGATGGACCACGTGTCAGCGCTGCCCCGACGCCGGCAGTGAGGAGAGCCGGGCTAAGAGCGTGCTCAAGTGGCCACTGCCCCCGTTCAACCTCAGAACTGGCGCTATTCTCATTTGATTCGTGGAGGGATCTGAGCTGGCGGAGGTGACGTGACCCATTCTAGTTCCCACCACCTGCGGGAGGTCGAGGGGACGGCAGTGCAGCAAACCACAGTGTGGGCGCTTCCTTAGAGGCCGTGGGCACCCAGCCGCCTGTTACCCTCGCAGGAGGGGCTCCTGGCACCCCGCATGTTTCCAGTTGCCTGAACTGCAAAGCCCTCGGAAAGCTAGCACAAGCTGGTCACCCTACGAGAGTGGCGCCCACAGCCCAGCTGATAGAGAGGGACGGGGAAATGGGTCTGGGCCTGGTGTCCCTGCACTAGAGTCACACCCGTTCTTCTCTGAGCACCATCCTGACGCTCCCCCAGCTTACCCTAGGTGGGAACTCTAGAACAACCACAGTATGGGGAAGGCTGGGGGGGGGGAGGGGCAAAGGGCCATGTTACACCTACCCTGAAGCGTTTTGGCGCTGACATAATCCATGCACCAGCTAACCAGAGCCATCAGGAGCCCCAGAAGCACCAGAAAGATCCAGTCTTCCCCTAACTTCCTTCTCACCACGAGTCCCAGGCGGTGCATACAATCTAGGAAAGGAAGGGACAGAGGGGAAGGTAACCAGTCACTGCTCTGGGTGTGCGGCTTAGGGCTGCAAGCGCAGGGCCCCTAGCGGTCTGGTCTGTATGTCTCATTCCCTGAGTTCCTCCTCACCTCTCTGCCCGTCAGAAGGCGCCAGAGTCCAATTCCCCTCTGGCTACTTGATTCCCTTCTAAACTCTGGTTTCTTGGGGCTGTGTGGGAGGGACGGTGGGAAGGTAGGGTGAGAAGGACATGGGAGCCGTGCCTTTTCCTTGGAGGAGGGCTTTGGTGTGCAGATGGGGACATTGAGGATCTTGAGTCAGAAATACGCAACGAGTCTTCAGAGTTACTGCCCTAATCCCGGTACCTCTTTCCTCTCCAGATACCTCCATTCCCCCGTCCCCGTCACCTTGACATTTAGAATAGTGATCCTCGTCCTTGCTGTCCATGGAAGCACTGGAGCCCATCGTCTTGGGGATCTCGGTGTCCTGTTCCTTGCCTGATAACTGCCCTTTGTGACGGCCATAGATCTGGATAGAGGGAGATGGGAAAGGTCTTTCTCACTGAAGAGTCAAAAGAAATAGAAGGAAGTATATAGAAGGCAGTGGCACCCCACTCCAGTACTCTTGCCTGGAAAATCTCATGGATGGAGGAGCCTGGTAGGCTACATACAGGCCATGGGGTTGCAAAGTGTTGGGCACGACTGAGGGACTTCACTTCGCTTCATATAGACCCACAGATAAATCGCACAAACAGCTTTTTAAAATCCTGGGTATTTGCTGCTCTGTGACAACCTAGAGGGGTGGGATGGGGTGGGAGGTGAAAGGAGGTTCAAGACAGAGGGGACATATGTCTACCTATGGCTGATTCATGTTGATGTACGGTAGAAGCCAGCACAACATTGTAAAGCAGTGATCCTCCAATCAGAAATGAATAGGTCTTTAAAAATCCTGGGTGTTGACGGCCTCATGCAGGGCCACTTGGGTCATCAGTGCCCTCCACTCCCCACCGTCCGTCTACACGGACGGTGTTCCGTGTAGGAGTGGGACGGTTCCCACTCACTCTTGTCCATCCATCCACACCCCTACCCATCTGTACTCATCTCTCTCAACAGCAGCCTTCATCAAGGGAACCAATTTCTACTCTGAAGCAGGGATACGAGAACTGTGCTAAGAACTGGGTATCTGCATCAATGACATGTTTTGTGCGTCACTGCTTTCTGCTTCTTGGCCCCCTGTCGTTTCCCCGGACCCCCCTCACACCGAGATGGACGGGGTGAGGACAGGCTAGCAGGTGACTCCTGGTGGCTCCTGGCCTTGGTGTGTCTAGCTCTAATGAGGCTCCTCGGACACCCTGCAGGCTTAGAGAAGGCCCATCCACGTCCCCGCCCTGTGCCTGTAGGCACAAGCTGGACCCAGCCCCCAAAAGACAAGTCAGTCCACTCCTTCCCGAAGTAGAGCATGTGTGTTTGGGTGTTGTATGTGTGCAAGATATACTAACTCCTTTTAGCCTGCCCCACCTCCACTACACTAACTGTCCTCTGGGGCCAGGGTCAGGCCAGGGCACATTGCTGGTTCTCGGAGAGCCTGAGTGGAAGAGATCTGATTTCACAATACGAGCAGTCAAGTTTATGCCTGAATCCTGAGCAGGAGGCACTAATACCCTGCTCTGGTATGAGGTTAGTGACCGAAGGGAGCCGTGTTTTCCTCCATATCCTCCCCAGACCCAAGAGAAGACACACCCCACGGGGGCCAGCGCATGGGATACCTCAACCCACCTTAGGTCCAAGGCCAGAGGAGAGGAGACATGGGTGCTACATACCAAACCTGGTCTGGGAAACACTAAAAGAGCCCGATCTGGGGACTTCCCTGGTGGTCCAGTGGTGAAGAAGCCACCTTGCAATGCAGGGGACTCGGGTTCAATCCCTGGTCAGGGAACCAAGGAACACACTAAACCACAACTACTGAGCCTGCAGGTGCTCCGGAGCCCAAGCCACAACTAGAGAGTCTGTGTGCCGCAACAAAAGATCCCGTGTGCCACAGCTAAGACCCAATGAAGTCAAGTAAATAAGTACATTTATAAAATAAAAATAAAAGAGCCAAATCTGTGCTGGCTGGACTAGGGCTCACTGTCTGAGCAGGGCTGGGAGGGGAAAGAGAAGTCAAACCTGAAAGGGGCATATTGTCTGGATTTGTGAGTATAGGGCCAGGGATGGGAGGATGGATGCAAAGATCCTGACAATTGATAATTAATCATTGGGCAAGGGGTACTTGGGGATTCATTACACCACTCTTTCTATTTTTGTATAAGCGTGAAATTTCCATAATAAGATTTAAGCAGAGAAAAGCGGAAGTCCAAGCTCCCCTTCTTCTCACCTGCCCAACCTGACTTCCTGAGTGCCTTCAGCTTCATGCTAGGGTGCTGGCTTTGCTCGCCATCACCAGAAGGCGCCGTAACTGCACCTTTTACTAAGTTGACATCCCACTCAGACCACGTACCCCGCGACAGAGAGCCCTGGGCCACGAGGAGGGGTCTCCCTGTCCAACCCCGCACAGTGTTCCAGGCTACCTTCTCCAGGAAGCCTGTACTGACTCACCACCGGAGCCTCCCCTGGCTTTTGTGCCCTCGATCCTCCAACTGATTCTCCAGGAACTGCCGCCACGCACCATCCTCAGAACAGGTCAGGATTGAGACCTGGATTCTCTGGACCCCCAGCACAGAGATCCCCAGCCCAGCCCTCGGCTTCTCTGCCCTGCCTAGACCCCCACACTAAAGAAAACACAGTCAACCCTTCATCGGCCAAAACATTTTTAAATCCTGATTTCCTGGTCCCCCACCGACAGGTTCCATTCTGTCCCTCCACAGGCACGGTCACTTGCTGATCTTAACCCAGGTATTTATCTGAGACAAGCTTCCAATCTGTCCTTCAGGGATGCCCCCACCATCATTGCCCTTCCCTTGATGTCTGGAACTCCTGGAGGATATTTACCCTGGACTCATTGGAAAAGATCACGATGCTGGGAAAGACTGAAGGCAGCGGGAGAAGAGGGCAACAGAGGATGAGATGGTTGGATGGCATCATCGACTCAATGAACACGAGTCTGAGCAAACTCCAGGAGGCAGCGAAGGACCAGGAAGCCTGGTGTGCTGCCGTCCATGGGGTCGCCCAGAGTCAGACACAACTGAGTGACTGAACAGCAACAAACCCCGAGTCAGCTCACCAGGCACCCCGCTCACTGAGGTCAGAGCTCTGTTTCCCTCCAGATGCCACCACCTCATGGGCCCTCACTTGATGAGCCCTCCCACCTGCAAGTCTGATTACATTTCTTCTGCTCATTTGACACTGGTCTGTCTTGGATCATTGACCATGCTCTTCAGTCCATTTTCTCCCCTTCTCCCCGCCTTTCTGCCTTCTGCAGAAGTGAGGACGTGTGTGTGTTCTGCCGAGGGTGGGAAGGGAGAATCTGGTGGTGTCTGTGTGCCGGGTGAGCGTGTGAGGACGGCTCGGGCACGCAGAGGTGTGGGCTTCTCTGCCAGTCCCCTCGTGTGGGTTATGTAAGCATGGGCTCAGCACCCATGTGTGGCTCTGCCTTCTCCCCCCAGATTCGGGGGGTTCTGTTAGTAAAGCTTGTGTTCAGGTACACGTGTATCTCTATAGAAGGTGCCCACTGGGCTGAACCCAGACCTTTAAAGAATGTTCATATTTGGAACACACGACCATGTACTTTCTTAACTTAGAAAGATCACACTGCCCCCTCTTGCCACCTGCCTCTTCATTTCCCCCCCATCCGTGGCTGCTCTGGCTCCTGGAATCCACCGCCCCCTCCTCTGACAAGTTTACCTGTGTGGGGTGGGCGTTGGCACGGGGGCCCGCGTCCCTCCGGAGCCTGTGCTGCAGACCCCCGTTCTCGGAGGGCAGTCCGTAGCTGGTGAAGTGCTCAAAGGGCATGTACTGGTATTGGGGGGCGCTGCCCCACCAGCTGGGCTCACCCCCACGCCGCTGGGACCCCGATGGCTCCATGCTCCCGCCCCCGGCCAGGTCTCGGCCTGCCGGCCCCCACCCTCCCCCTAGAATAGCTCCTTAAGCCTGTCCTCCTGCCTGTCCCCAAGGCGTCTGGGGCAGCGTGCCCACCCCCAGCTATTTATAGCCATCTCTCCGTCACATGACCCCCCCCACTGCCACATCTGATCTGCTTGGGGTCGAAGCAGGTGTGAGAGCCGGGCGGGGGAGGAGTGGGGACAAGAACCTGGGGGGCAGCCCCACAGGGAACTCCCCCAGCAGGACAGGCACCGTCCCCCTCCTGAGTCACGAAGAGGATTCCAGTCCCAGGCCACTGGTCTGGCTATAAATACCGTCCAGATCAGGGTGGAAGACTGCTCTGCGCACTTTCAGACCTGTGTGCTCCCCGAGCCTGCACCCTCTAAGCAGCCCACCACTTTTCTTCCATCAGTCCATCCTCCCGTGGGGAGGCAGCGGTTGGGAGCTGGGTGGAGTGATTCTAGGTTCTGGAAACACTGGGGAGTGGCACACCTGGGCGAGTAAGCGGCGCCTCTCTGCCGTCCTTCCCTGCGGGCTTGTCCCCAGCTCTGGGTCCCCCCCAGGTTTAGTCCTCATCTGTTGGACCAGCTCTCCCAACCCAACCGATGTTCAGCTTTCTCCTCCAGCTCTGCCTTTTTTGTCTGCCAGAGGCCGCTAGTGATGCTTCGAGGTCATACCCTTGACCCCACCTTTATCACCGTTGGGTGTGGGGCGCAGGGGTAATAGCCTTGGGTTCTGGCATTTCTCCTACTTCCCGGGCTGATACATGACAGCCACACCAGTGGCCTGGATGTTCAGGGAGGGACTGAGCTTCCATTTAGAGCTCGGAGCATCCCTGGGAGAGCTGTCAGGGCAGGTGAGATAACGGGGAGAAGGGGAAGTGGGGCAAGGGAATGGGGAGCCCAAGGAGAGACGGGAGTGGGCGTTTCTCATGATGAGCCCGACAGACATAAGAGATGACAGGGAAGTACCCTGCTATTCTTCCCTTTTCGGGTCAATAAGTAATTTTTGGCCAAGGCCAAACTACTCTATCTGGCATTATGCTTTGTTTTTTTAAGACCAATTTTCCTAGTACAGTCCTTCCCTTGTGAACTATTCACTAGTGAAGGAAAGCTATAAACATGAGCCAGTGTGTGGTTTCGGATCCATCACCAAGCAAGTTCTGTCCCAGGGACTGCAGGGTAGGGACACCGAACATGTGGTCTACAACTGAAATTTGTCCCAGGCTAAATCGGACTGTCCCAAGCAGGTGGGAAGATAAATACCATTAAGAGCACCTTTTCTAACATAAATCTGAAGACCTGTAATCTACCCACAAAGACGACAAATGTGTGATTTGAGGCCCTGGACGTTCTGTAACATCTCCCTTCTCCCCAGGCAGAAAATAAAAGAGATCTAATGGGTTGGTGTGAGATGAAAGAAACACTTTCTTTTAAGCTTTTTTAAAAAATATTTGTCTATTTATTTGGCATTGTCGAGTGTTGGTTGCAGCATGTGGGATCTTCATTGCGACATGCAGGATCTTCTGTTGTGGCACACAGCTTCTCTAGTTGTGGTGAATGGGCTTGACGGCCCTGTGGCATGTAGAATCTTAGTTCCCCGACCAGGGATCGAACCCATGTCCCCAGCATTGCAAGGTGATTCTCAATCACTGGACCATTAGGACAGTCCCCAAAGAAAAACTTTAATTAGGAAAATAGATTGCCAAGAAAAAAGAAAATAGATTGCCAAAGTGAAATTACTTTCTTATGGGGAGGGGGGGGGTCTCAGAAACAGAAAAGATTTCCACCCCTTTGTGGAGATGGCTCCCCTGAAAGTAGTCAGTTTCTGCAGGAACTTGATAATCCTAAGAAACAAGTATCTAACGCAATTGTTATTTCTCCAGTGTTCCTGAGAAAATCAGGTCCTGGTTGTGGATCCCAAAATTTGAAGGCAAGATCATGGCCATTAAGAAAACCCTCCCAGGTCACCAAGCCACCTGGAAGCACCAGCTGCAATTCTAAAAACCAGACTCTGAAATCAGGAGGGTCAAGGAGCTCTCCAGCTGCTAGCTCTGAAGGGTAAGGATTTGAGATAAGGATCTTGAGTCTTAGCTCAAAGATTAAAATCTGGGTTATCATCCTGCAAGAGAACAAGAAAATAAAATATAAACTGTGCTCATCCCACCCCAACACCCCATGGGTTCAGTGATTTTATCTGGAAGGCCAGTGATGGGTTTCTGGGGAGTCCTTTGAAAAGCTCCTAAATTTGGAAACAAATTCACAACAATGCATTTACCTATGATATGTATGCTGAGTAAGATATGTATTCTTTGGAGGTTTTAATAAGAGTTTCTTGAGGTCCAAGGTTAACCTATAAACCTATAGTCTTATGGAATTGCTATTTGAAGGAAGGTTGCTGAAACAACTGTCTGGGACACAGGTGTGTGGGTGTGCTGGGGGATAGAAGGTCATGAGCGATCCCGCTCCTTGGGATCCCAGTATCAATTTAAGCAGGAACTTTCTCCCTGGGTGACACCCTTGTTTTCAGATTCCCACCTCTTGAAGTCTGGGCTCTCCAACTGTTGGACAGTACACTGTGATATTATTCTTAAGGGGCTTTAAGTCATGCCTTGCCTGCTCCACATCAAGCCTAGCATGGGACCCATGACCACCAACTTTCTGAAATTTCCCCCAGGCAACTGTAACTTGAACACACCTCTTTGTAGTTGTCGTCACTGGCAGTCATTTCTCCTCTATGCTTACTGAACCTTGCCTTCCAGATCTTTCAAAAAGGCCTGGTCCCTTCCCTCCCCTGCATATGACGCCTTCCTAACATTGGACAGGGCTCCTTCTCCCTCTTCTGGATTTTTGAACAGGGTACACTTTTTCCTCTGTTCTCTGCCCAACAAGGGCTAAGATGGAATAGTCTTTCTTTTGGTCTCAGGCTCCTTCTCACAACTCAGTGGGCAAAAACTATAGTCCCAAAAAGTAAGGAGGGAGGGAAAAAAAAAAGCCTTTTGCTAAGAAAAAAAGTCACAGAAGCACAATTGTTGAATTCAAGCTGACAGATTGTTACCCATCCTGGCCTCTGTTTCCTTAGAAAGTTGGTTAACTTGAGGGTTATGGAGAGAAAAGAATGGACGTTAAAAGTCAGTGTCTGCCCCAAAGTGAGCGCTGAACATTAACTTGTGTCGTTAAACTGAAGTTCACGCTCAGAGATGGCTAACAGCATCTGTAATGCGTTAACCCTGAGTGATCCACCACACATCCTCCTGCTTCATCCTCACAGGGTAGCATCCTTCCTTCTTTTAAGGCAGCAACGATTTACCCATGTTTAAAGAAGGGCAAGGTTAGGTACCTTAAGCAAGGTCTCTGATACCTTAAAAGGACAAGCCAGTATTCAAAGTCTAGTTAATTCTGGAGTCTGTGTCCTTAAAGCTACATCTTTTCCTGTATAAATTGAAGTTTCTGAGCCTAATTTTCCTCTTCTGAAGAAGCAGGGCGATGACGCCCTCCTGGCTTGTGGGAGGATGGTGTAAAGCTGCAAGCACAGGGCCTGGGAGGCGCGCTGAGCACTCAGGCAGCTGGAGCTGTTATTAACATCTTCGCCTCAGACTACTTTCCCCTTCTGCCGGAATACCCCACTTGCTCCATCTCTTCCCTATCACCGGAGATGGGATGGGGGAGGGCAGCGAAGAACCACCCCCAGCTCCAGGAGGGGGATAATTTTAGAAGAGAATCCCCTGGCAGAGGACCCGGAGCTGTGAAATTCAACCTGACGCCCTTACTCAAGGGCGGGGCGGGGAGGACAGGGAGTCCAGCTCAGCAGATGCTGCTCTGAGCCCTGAGCACACCCACCTCCCACAGGCTATCCTCCCACTCACTGCTCCGGGGCCCTCCCTCCAGAGGCACCCGGGGCCAGCCTGCTCCTACGGCCTTGGCCCCCAGTGTTCTTCAGCCAGTTCCTCCCCTTCCGCCTGGTGATGCTTCAGCTCAACTTCATCCCTCTTCGCTCTTCCTCCTCTAGGTTCACAGACAAGCTCCCCCCGCAGGGTCCTGTCAGCTTCCCTTGCCGTCTCTAACCCTCTGCAGCTCACCTGCACAGGTGCACCTGCCTCTCCAGGTGTAGGCATATTGCACCTGAGAATTCCCCAGGTTACACAGTCCACTCCCCGAGAATTCTCTTACCATCTACACCCAGTCTGGCAAACCTTAAATCCAAACTGGACCACGCGAGACAGGGAATTCTGTGATCCTTGGCGTCTCTTCCTATTCCAACTCAATCTGTTTCTCCAGCCTCCATCTCGTCATCTAAATAATCCAGGACCAATGCTCCTTGAGTCTTCCACCTCTTGGGGCCACGAGGAGCCCCAGCGCCGGGAGCTGTGTCTGGGGCAGCTGCCTGTGGCCACGATGGCGGTGGGCCATCCGCAGTGTGGACCTGGCGGTATTAAAGGCCCTGCAGCCAAACAAGACGGTTCCCGCTCTGGGTGTGCCCTGTGAGGCGGCGGGGAACGCTGTAAGGAGCCGAGGAAATAAGTGGGCTTCCCAGCATGGATTTACCTAGACATCAGGCACACACCGGTAATAAATATGAGCATTTATTTGGCACCAGATGGCAATACAAAATCCTGGCAGTGGGAACTGGAAAGGTTCTATCACCTAAGTACTTCCAGATGATGCCGAGCCAAGGGCAGGACTTGGCAACAAGTCTCCGAGCCCCCGGCTCACAGAGCAAGTGTTGACTGAGCACCTGAACTACCAGAGGCTGGGCACTGCGCCCGGCGCCGCGGGAGACACAGACAAAGTCTCCCTGCCTGCGACTTCCGTCCTTGGGAGCTACCAATACCAGTGGATGAAACCAACACATGGGAGGATATGGAGTACAAACACTAACCTGGGTATTTTGCCAAAAGGGAAATTTCGTCAAAGAGTAGGATTCCAGCTAGCGTTGCTTCCTTTCTTCAGCAAACATTGGAGACCTATGATGTGCCAGGCACTGGGTGCGTATTAGTGAACAAGAGAGACAAGGTTTCCGCCCTCATGGAGTTTAAAGGGAGATGCGAACGAACATGTGAAGCATGCACGCACATGATGAGTGATTATACAGTGTGATAAGTGCAATGAGAGGATTAAACAGAACAGAAATAAAGTTAAAAACAACACTCAATTTTTAGAGACAGAATGGCTTGGGAAGCCCTCCACGGAAGGTTGGCATTTGAGCTCTGACTTGAAGGATCAAGAAGCCACCAGGGCCAAGAGTGGCGAGGGGTGGGGCTCAGCAGACCCAGGAAGCCTGTCTGATGGTCCAGCCCAGGAAGGACCTTAGAATGTTTGAGAAACACAGGACACCACTGAGCTGTCGCTTACAGGGAAATCAGCACTTATGAGGCCCTTGCAGGCCAAGGGAAGGAGTCGGATTTGATTTGAGGTGTGACAGGAAACCAAAGGGCTCCAAACAGGGGAGTAAGAGGATCAGATTTATACTTAAAAACCAAAATCAACATCTGTCACAGAGATGAGATTGTAATACGGCGAAAAAGAAGGCCTTTAAGAAAAGAAGGCTTCATGTAAGTGCATATAAAGGTGGCTTCTAGGGTAAATAAATAACATATATGGAGCACTGACCTCCCTGAAATGGACAGTCACAATGGGAAGGGGAAACAGAACACATAAAATCCAGAGGGGATTTAATACAGAAGCAGAAAGCTGGAACAAAGTACTATATTACGTCCTTGAGCAGCCAAACGATCCAATTAAGCTGTATTTTAGACGATTTGGTGGCTGCAGTAAACAGAATGAGACAAAGGTAAAGAGGGGAGAAACAGGAAGCTGAGAGATAACAGCCAGGAAGTGTTTTTAGGAGGGGCACTTCACAGGAAGAAAAACGAGGATAAGGTGGCAGACTGCCAAGCATGAGCAAGCACAGCACCCTTATCTCCTCCGCTGACACTCCCCACAAGGCTCACTTCAGGTACAAAGCTCAGAGCACCCACCACCCGTGGAAAGTCTTGGAAGCTTCCATGGGCAAAGATCAACAAGGTAACAGACAAAAGGCAGCCGAATTCTGACCTCCGCTGAAAGGCTGAATTCCTGAGCCCCAAGGAGCCAAGAGCGGAGCTGAGAAGACGGTCCTTCCCTGGGGAGACCTTCTGGAACCGAAAGGGACAAACACAAAGGTCTGGGCCCACCCACAGTAGCAGAGGGTGCTTGGCCTTTTAAAACCAAATGAAAACTGTCTGTGTTGAACTGGAACACTTTTCAAACTCCCACTTTGGGACAAATGGGGCTGGGACATGAAAGAAGAGATGGGAGGTGTGACCTCTGGGACATCTCAGCTCCTGGAACAAAAGCAATTACCAGAGTGCTTCCTCCAAGAGTGCTGGGGGCAGGAGCTGAACACAAACATCGAGGAGAGCCACACGCCCTCTCCCCGTCAAGATAGTGCGTGCAGTGTCGCTTGCCAGGTCCCGCAGTGCAGGCCACACGTTCTTAGCAACGAGTCCAGCCAGAGCCGGCTCTACGGGAGAGCTGCACGGGGGAGGAGGTGGCGGTCCGAGGTCACTGGTGGAGACGGTGGGCCTGAGAAAGGAGCCTGAGGGAGTCCCAATCCCTGAGGGGAGGCACTGAAGCCGCGCATCCTGGAGAGAAAGGCTCTACCTCGCCTCCTGAGGCCCAGCGGCCTCCACGTGGCCCGGTGACGGGGTGGGATGCGGGGGGCCGGGGGTTGGCATCACGTGGGGGGGTGGCCAGGGAAGAGATAGAGGTGGCGGCACAGGGTGCTACAGTACTCAGACATCTCCTTGCAGCGGTGGAACTCCGTGCCCGGGGCGTAGCCTTCTCGCTCCTTGATGAGCGCGTTCACCTGCCAAGGCAGAAACCCAGTGGCCGGGGTCTGAGAATCGGGTGTTTTCAGGATCCCAGCACAAGAGGAAGGGTGAGGAAGACTGTGAAGACCAGTGCGAGGGAGAAGCAGGGTGGAACACTCACCTTCACCAGCATGTCGGCCACGTGCATGTCGCAGGCCCTCTCAGAGAACACCTGCGTGAGGGCCTCCACGTACCAGGAGCCCCGCTTGGTGTTGCGCATGGCAGCGGTCCCTGCAACCAGAGCAGCAGTGAGCGCCGACTGAAGGCCAGGGGCACCCTCCCCAGCGGATGGACCTCCCCTGCATCCTCCCTGGTCAGAGCCCTGCGTGACAGAGCCTGCGTCTAAGAGGCTGCCGCCTTCGGGACCACTCCTCGGGACACACAATACCTCTGAGGCAGGCGTAGCCACAGATCATGTCTGAGCGGGTGGGCAGCCGTGTCTTCAGCAGCTCCTCTCCGCTGGCATCGCTCTCCTCACAATCAGGGGATCGGTTGTGGTTCTTCCCGTCTTGCTGGTCGACCCCCCGATCTGTCTCATCTGTACAAAGGCAGACAAGAATGGACAGAGAGAGATGTTATTTCCTCCCACCTCTCTCGGGCCTGTCACAGGCAAGCCCAAGTTCCCTGCAAGCGGGATGGGGGAAGAGCCATTTCCAGCTGTTGTCTCCAACCTATGGCTGATGAATTAAAAAGAAAAACAAACACCATTACTCCCGCTCCTCTGCCACCGTGCACCGATCACGCAGAGGGTGCCCACGCACATGCACGCATCTGTGGTCTGAGCTCTGTCCACTCTGTGTAAGACAGGGAAAGTGCTCAATCAAATACCCCTTGTAAACACAACAAAAAGCCATCGGCGTCCACGATTCACTTGTCCAATTATCAGTGTACCTGGAAGTCAAAGTACTGCTTATTGCAATACATGATAAAATACTGATACAGTTTTACTACATAAAACAGAAAAACAAGTTATAAACCAAAAATATACTTACTACAAGTATGCTGTATGAAAACCACAACCATAATTTCTATATTTTTGATAAACAAATTATAAAACTAAGCATGATTAGTTGTTTCCAGAATGTTTTTGATATTTTTAAGTCACTTACTATTTATTAATTTCATAAGTCAAATTGTAGCTGGCATGCAAAATTTAAGAGAAAGTTAAAACTGGGATAATCGACTGTTTTCTCTAAAATAATGTAAAAAGAACACTATTATTCAATTATCAGCAGTAGATCCTCAACATACCCTGAGCACATGCCCAACCTTCTGACCCAGGCCTTATCCACCCCCAGACATGTTCTTTCTCTGACACTGTTGTTTGGGAGTGGTAGGAAAAAGACAGAAGGACATACAGCTTGTCAGGCCAAAGGTAATAGAGTATGTAAGCTTTTTCTTCTTTACATCTCCTGCTCCATGTAACACCCAAGAGAGCCTTAAAGAGAAGTGAACCTTGAAGGTCTGTGCAGAAAATGACCAAGATTCACTGATCCGACAAAAATTTACTGCACAACTGCCATGTGCCAGGCGCTGTTTCTATGCCCGAGGGATACAGTGAAGAGCAAGTCCCCATCCTCATGGAGCTCACACTCCAGTTTAGGAGCCAGTCAACCAGGGCAGGGTCCTTTTTAGAGGCACCAGTTATGTTAACTTAAGTATAGCAGAAGACAGGTGAGCTCAGACTTTTAAAGGAACAGCTGGCCTACTGGTCATCCCTTGGAGGATTTGATTTTAGAGAAAAGATTCAGCTTAGCCCAGGAGGGCGCTATCTCTCCCTACCCAGGTCTATTATTTGTATATAATTTCTGAACACAGGAGAAAATGATGATGAACATGTTTACTTCACTTTGCCAGTGATGCCTCCTACAGGAAACAGGCCAAGCTGCATGTGTCCCTCAAGAGAAAGGAGACTCCTCTCCTGCCTTTGTCTCAGAACTACTGATCAAAGAATGGTTCTTTTCTCACAATATCCCTGTATCTGTTTTCTGTATTATTGCTCCACTTTTTAGGCAGGCTAATTTCCATCCTAGACAGCATATTAAAAAGCACAGACATTACTTTGCCAACAAAGATCCGTCTAGTCAAGGCTATGGTTTTTCCAGTGGTCATGTATGGATGTGAGAGTTGGACTGTGAAGAAAGCTGAGCACTGAAAAATTGATGCTTTCGAACTGTGGTGTTGGAGAAGATTCTTGAGAGTCCCTTGGACTGCAAGGAGATCCAATCAGTCCATCCTAAAGGAGATCAGTCCTGAGTGTTCATTGGAAGGACTGATATTGAAGATCAAACTCCAATACTTTGGCCACCTGATGTGAAGAACTGACTTATTTGAAAAGACACTGATGCTGGGAAAGATTGAGGGCAGGAGGAGAAGGGGACGACAGAGGATGAGATAGTTGGATGGCATCACCAACTTGATGGACTTGAGTTTGAGTAAACTCCAGGAGTTAGTGATGGACAGGGAGGCCTGTCGTGCTGCAGTCCATGGGGTCACAAAGAGTCAGACACGACTGAGCGACTGAACTGAACTGAATTTCCATCTACTCAGCCAATATTTATGATGTGCTACTATGTGTCAGGCAGTGCCCTGGGCCTGGGGATATAGCAGGGACATAAAAAAAGGAAGTTCCTGCTCACACATACTCTTTTTTCTCAGCACTGCTCCCTGTAATCATCCTGAAAAAAAAAAAAAATTCCCATTTTTTCTTACTTGCACTCCCAGTACCTCTGTACTATTATCTGTCAAAGCCCAAAATCTCAGCTGTGACTGCAGGTTTATGATCACTAGGATCCGTCTCACGTGGTCAGCCACGTCTCACTACACGTGACTGACGCAGATGGAGAACCAGGCATACTTCTGGCTCAGCCCGCTTTGGGACAGGGGAAGGGGGTGTCCTTTCAGTCTTGGTGTGCTAGTCACACTGCATTCCTCCTCACTCCCGGAAAGGCTCTATCTGCTATTCCACTGCTGTTCTCTGCTGTGCACAGGTGCTAAGTCACTTCAGTCGTGGCCGACTCTTTGCGATCCTGTGGTCGGCACCCACCAGGCCCCTCTGTCCATGGGGTATTCCAGGCAAGAGTACTGGACTGGGTTGCCATGCCCTTCTCCAGGGCATCTTCCCGACCCAGGGATCGAACTCCTGTCTCCTGTGGCTCCTGCACTGCAGGTGGATTCTTTACTACTGAGCCACCAGGCAAGCCCCACTCTCTGCTATGTGTTAGTCGCTCAGTCGTGTCTGCCTCTTCGGGACCCCATGGACTGTGGCCACCAGGCTCCTCTGTCCATGGGATTCTCCAGGCAAGAATACTGGAGTGAGCTGCCATTTCCTTCTCCAGGATTCTCTGCTATACCCACGTAAAAAATATGTTATTTGACTCCTTGGACAAACGGACCTTTAAATCAAACTGTGAGTCCCTTAAGGGCACAAACCATGTTATAACAGTCAGAGCTGGTATTCTGTGGATTTACCATGAGTCAGCTACAAAGAAGAACCACTTTCATATGAACTACTTCACTTAACCATCACAACAACATGACCTCAGGATGTGTGATTACCTACATTTTATACTGAGGAAACTAAGGTGAAAGGACATGGAGTAACTTCTCTATAACTTCACATGACTAGTCAGTAGCAGAGCCAGAATCTAACTCCACGTTTACAGCTTTCAATCATGACTCTTTTCCTCTGAGATAAGAAGCACATCTGCATATCTTCTGAGCATAATCAGGAGTCCTGGCTTTTCAAGGGGTGAAAAGAGAGTGCGTGCAAGAGGGCTGGGAGGAGCTTGTGGAAGAGTAGGAGCCGAAGGCTGACGGGGGGTCTCCACGCTGCTCTCCTGCGGGACACAGGAGGGACCCGGAGAGGAGAGGAGGTGAGAATGGGGAGTGGGGGAGAGGAGGAGGAGAAAGCGGAAACGGGAGGAGAGGGGGAGAAGGAAAAGAGGTAGAGGATCAAGTGAGAGCGTGAGGAAGCAGAGGCAGCTGGCAGACCCTGAACTGGAAAGAGGGATGAGGAAAGCGCACCGGGGTTAAGCACAGGAGAAAAGGAAGCGTTCTCAGCAAACAAAGTGAAGATACTGGCCGAGAGCGTCCTGGGGGCGGACATGGCGGCGCGCAGAGAGCTGACCACCTGAGAGCCAGGGGCGGCCCGGGTCCCAGCACACCCCATGCGTCGGGAGACACTTACAGAGCAAGAGAGGCGGTGGCAGCAGTGAACAGAAGGAGGTGCCCAGGGGATCCGCTAGCACCTGAGAGGAGCAAACAGGAAAGTGAGAGCTGGTGGGAGGCTGCCCGGGAGCCACACCCAGGTGCCAGTCTGCCGGGGCACTCACCTCCACGGCAGGCCTGGATGAAGAACATTTTCGGTTTGTTCTGTAGGCTTGGGCAGTTGGCATTGTCAAAGAGCCGAAAAACCTCTTGTAGCTGCCGGAGAGAAATAAGGGAGAAGGGGGGTTGGTGGTCAGTGGAAGCCCTGAGTCCTATACACATAATAGCGGCCATCCCTGGAGACACAGGCAGCGGGAGGTGGCACGGCCCAGCCTCAGCAGCCGCGGTCACAGACCAGCACGCACCTGGAGCAGTTTGCCGTCCACGCCGTAGACGCCACCCTCCACGCCGTGGGAGAGAAGCGCCACTATGCAGGAGTCAGTGACTCGGTGAGCCGGGAGCTGGGCAAAATTCTGCAGCTTCTCTTGCATTTCCTAGGAGAAAGATGCCTTTCAGGGTTGCTCACTAGAGTCAGCACCGATACAAGCTTCCATTTGGTGTTTGGAGCCCTAAGCTACAAGAAAATCAAACATGTTCTCTACCAAGTTAGAAGCCAAGTAAGCACCAGAAAACCATATGACTTTAGCTCAGTCGGTAAAGAATATGCCTGCAGTGCAGGAGACCTGGGTTCAATCCCTGGGTTGGGAAGATACGCTGGAGAAGGAAATGGCAACCCACTCCAGCATCCACGCCTGGAAAATCTCATGGACACAGGAGCCTCGTGGGCTGCAGTCCATGGGGTTGCAAGGAGTCGGGCACAATTGAGCAACTAACACTTACTTAGACAAAATACTGAATATAATGTTATGATTCACAAACTCACTGAGATATGTGAAGAACTCCTGGAGTGAAGCCAAGTTATTAATGAAGCTAATCATGTAGGCGCTAGTTAACTTTACCCACTCTCCAAGCATCAACCAGCTCTTTCTTCAGCGCATGTGCCCTGTATGTTAATGGCACAAAGGGAACCGCCAGGTAAACTGGGAACGAGTAAGTAATGCGCTTATCAGAAAGTAACAGCCATAAGAACTGCTCTGTGATCACGGGCTCACAGGATCATGACAGGAGAGAACAGCAGTACTTCTGTGCTGTTTTCTATCTCAGAATTGAAGTTCCCAGAGACAATGATGACGTCTGTACAAAAATGCTTTTGCTCACAAAAGAACACACTCTACAGAGGATACTGGACAGGGTCATGACTATCTACATGAGCCAGTGGATCAGAGAGACCTAGGTTTAACCCCTGGGTTCATAAATTAGAACAGACTCTAATACTCACTTTATAAGAAGACAATTACATTTTCTCCGAGTTTGTATAGATTCAATGAGATACTGCATTGCTGCTGTTGTCTTTTGTGATCCCAAAGACTGTAACCCGCCAGGCTCCTCTCTGTCCATGGGATTTCTCAGGCAAGAATACTAGAATGGGTTGGCCATTTCCTTCTCTAGGGGATCTTCCCAACCTAGGGACTGAACCCACGTCTCCTTCATTGGCAGGTGAGTTCTTTACCACTTAGCCACCCGGGAAGCCCTGAGACATGGCATAGAAAGGACTTATCGCTACGCCTGGCACATACTGCAAAGATCTGCCTTCATACTGTGCCTGTCTAATGAAGGGTAGCAATATTATTTTTTCAAAGAAACGCTGCAGTCCAGGTTAAGAATCTTCTTGATCTTGCACTAGACTGCCATATATGCGTAACACTACCTTAAGCATTTGCTCCATCCAACGGAAAGTTATAAAACATCTAAAAGCACAATTAAACCAATGTGATACAAACTGTTAAAATTACATCTCCCTCTACAACTCAAAATGTCTAGACTGTCTCTGAGATGAGCGGGGAGAAAATGAGTTCATTTTGCTATGCATATGGCCAAAATACAATGAAGAGCGCACCACAAAGCAGAGCAGCTCCAGTACACGTGTGTCTAACAGCGCCGCACACAGCCTCTACTTGCATTAATAGACCACAGCGGCTCTCCAAGCGTGACCCCTCACAGAGCGGCAGCTTCACCCAGGAACCTGCAGGAAACGCAGTCTTGCCCCTGGCAAGCTGAGCCTCCGCAAGGCCTCCATGTGAGTCTGGTGTGCTAACATGTGAGAGCTTATCTGCTGTCTGGAACACTTCTGTTTGCAGATAGCTGAGATTTCATAAAGGACTTGAAAGTCTGCAGTTTCACTGAAAATGAAGAAACTGGCTGTGTTTAAAGGGCATGTATACTTTCTGAGCAAACAGAACCCAACCATAATTCTGGAGATCTTAAGGTAATAAAAGATATCCAAAATTCATTCAATAATATATAATCTCCAGAGAATACATATAACTTATGACTGCTCCTCTGGAGTTGACTATAACAGAATTTAACAAGTAACAGTGGAAGCTAATTTTGCTCCAAGGGAATAAAAGTATAGGTTTGGCAATCAGAAGCATTTAGAACTTAACTGAGGTTATTACATGAGTAAACAGAAGACAACAAAATCCACAGTAAGAACAGACAGGCTTTGCAACTGAATTTAATAAGACTAAACCACTGAATAAATGGGGGTTAGTCATTTGGGGGAATTCTTCTGAAAGCAGCATAGCTTAAAATAGGATCTTGAGATCTATTTTTGATAAAATTACAGTGCTTCTATAAATAGCAGGGCTCCTCACACTTGCATGTGTTTTTGGCTGGGGGACACAGAAGAAGGGAATAACCTGTGAACTCCCGGAAACTACACACAAAATCCTATGGATAGCTGCATTTTTCAGAGATGACCCATAGCTCGTTGCTATACTCTCAAAACCATCTGTGACCAAATGCAAGCTATAAACCAATATCTGGTGAAAAGAAATCTGCCACTTTAAAGGGTATCTCATTGCCTAACACACAATAAACTGTAATTCTAGAACTAGTAACCTCATGAGGTGGAAGCAACAAGAACAAACTCTGATGAAGAACAGAGGCACCAAACACCTCCGTGGGCAGGGAAGACACCAGCGTGCTCACCAGCACCGTCAGCATAAGACAATTCTTCAAGATCACACCATCTCAGATTTTTAAGTAATACTATCTCTAAAGCAAAAAAGGAATAATAGGGGGAGAAAAAGAGGATCTAAATTTTCTTGGTTCTGTCTCTGGCCTGCTGAGGACATTCGATCAGCAAGAAAGTATTCCTGTGCAAATGCCCATTGCACCAAATGGTCACACCACTGCCATCATCTGGTGTCAACCATGACTGCAAGCTTGCCTGGCCACTGTCAGAAACTGACTGCCTCGTCCTGCTGTTCTGCATCTCCAGAGCTGCTGAGGGCTAGATACATGGAGGGCGATATTCTCAAGGTTCAGTCCTAGCCCTTTTGCTCTTTCTCAAAGATCATAGGCTCTCATTACTTGAAAGTCTTTTTCCTATACAAGTAGTTCCCAAATTCACATCTTTGGTCCTGACTTCCTGTGAGGCTCTCAATTCCTTATGTTTTCCTTCTTCTTCCATATGTAGTGATTCAGTCACAAGGCACTGACAGTACAATCATGTCATTATACCATTTTTCACATGTGCTCCTTTCCTGTTGGTCCGCTATCCTGTTCAGAACCCCTGCCATCTCATACTGAGATGAGCTGGAGTTAATATATTAACTCCAAACTGCATTCCCTGCCACTGGTCTCTAACTTAACTCTTTTTTTCTTTGGCCACACCCCACAGCATGTGGGGGGTCTCAGTTCCCCAGCCAGGGACTGAACCTGCACTCCATCCATTGGAAACATTAAGTCTTAACCACTGGACCACCAGGGAAGCCTGCTACCTCATTCTTTACAATGGTATTGTATTAATCTTCCTGAATCATCACTGTGAATGCATCACCTTTCTATTCAAAAACTACTAATGATGTTGGACTGTCAACACAAGGAAGTCCAATTCCTTTGGGAAGACATTCAAGCCCTGGGGATTCTGGTCCCTTGATCTCCAATCTTGTTTTTGGCACTCCTGGGCCACAGACACTTGGTTCACCACAAGGTTCCGAACACCACACACAGCTCTAACCTGTGTGCTGTGCCCCGCTGTGCAAGATCCCTTCACTCCTCCTCTCTCCTCAGCAGCTTCCGCCCTTCCAGGACAGCTGAAGTCTCTCACCCTCCATTTACCCCCCTGACCACACCTACCCAGGGGATGGCTTCTTCCTCTTCACTACTGCAGAAGACACTGTCTCTAATCTTTTGCGGTCTTAGGAACATTAGGGGACATGCTGCTTTCTTTTTTTAACTGATGTCAAGACTCCCTCATCTAACTGAGGTCCCTTGAATTCAAGGTTCACATTTTAAAAAATTTCTGAGAGCTCACACAGTTCCCCATTATAAGGGCCTCAAAATCGAAAGTGAAAGTCACTCAGTTGTGTCTGACTCTTTGGACCCCATGGGCTATACATTTCATGGAATTCTCCAGGCCAGAACTGGAGTGAGTAGCCTTTTCCTTCTCCAGGGGATCTTTCCAACCCAGGGATCAAACCCAGGTCTCCTGCATTGCAGGTGGGTTCTTTATCAGTTAAGCCACAAGGGAAGCCCAAGAATACTGGAGTGGGTAGCCTATCCCTTAAGGCTCCAAGGGATCTTCCCAACCCAGGAATCGAACCGAGGTCCTACATTGCAGGCAGATTCTTCACCTATTGAGCTATCAGGGAAGCTATGGCAGCTCACATAGTCTCCCATTATAAGGGGCTCAAAATTGAACTCTGCTGCTATTCAGGTTATGGAACAATGTAATCAGAGAATAAAAATCCAAAAGGTCCTTGAATCTGCATCAGGGAATGAGATCTGTGAAGTGGGCTCATAGGCCCATCACAGCTACTGAACGTCAACAAGAAGCAGGAGCCCACAGCTGACTTGGTGATTACGGATGTATCTTTTAACTACAGGCACATAAACTCCTTTATCAATTGCATAAAATTTGGAAAACAAAGACAGAGACAGAGTAAATTCCTAGGAAAAGGAGTGATTAGACCAAAACCTCTAAAGAAACATAAATAGCATTTTTTTAAAATGACCTTCTAATAGGATTCCCTCTGAAAGAATTACTACTGTTGTCCCACCCTTACTCCAAGCCCAGCAGACTCTCAGAAAGTACCTGATGATCAAAGAACCTGTTCTAGCCATGGCTTTGAAGCAAGGGTGAGTTTACTCCTTTGCAGGAGCCGCTACCACTATAGAAGCTGGCAACAACGTGTAAAGGACAACATTCAGGTTGAAACCGGCCTTAGCTGAAGTTTAGCAAATACATAATCTATCTCATACAAATAAGACAACTGAGAAACAGAAATGAAATCCACAGACAATGCTGAAGACAGACCAGGACCCCCCTACCTCAACAGATCAAAGAGAATCTCCTAGAAACCTTAATTTTACCATGGACATTCCCAAAGGCACGTTTAGGAGAGTATTGTTTTCCTAGAATCAAATGAAAGAATTAGTACCGATCTACCAATGGACTATTTTCAGTTTCAAAACAGAACTCCCTAAAGGTAAAAAAGTCAGTGGTACAGCCAATAATTGAGGCTAACGGAGACTAACTGATCACAAAAATGCTGATGACCTATAGGAATCTAGTTCAGAAGTTATCTACCTGAAGATCTGTCTTGTGGTCACACAAGTTGTAACAACAGGTCATGTTAATTCATGAAACAGCAACAAAACAGTATTTTACAAGCACAGTTCTAGCAAACTTTTATCTGCCAACGGCATCGTGAGAACAACAGCTGGAATCCTAAGCAGCAGCAGCAGTCAAGAAGTCACTGTCCTGTGTGCTGCTGCTGCTGCTAAGTCGCTTCAGTCGTGTCCGACTCTGTGTGACCCCACAGGCGGCAGCCCACCAGGCTCTTCTGTCCCTGGGATTCTCCAGGCAAGATTATTGGAGTGGGTTGCCATTTCCTTCTCCAACGCATGCACGCATGCTAAGTTGCTTCAGTCGTGTCTGACTCTGTGCGACCCTATGGACAGCAGCCCACCAGGCTCTTCTGTCCCTGGGATTCTCCAGGCAAGATTACTGGTGTGGGTTGCCATTTCCTTCTCCAATGCATGCACGCATGCTAAGTCGCTTCAGTCGTGTCCGACTCTGTGCGACCCTATGGACAGCAGCCCACCAGGCTCCTCTGTCCACAGGATTCTCCAGGCAAGAACACTGGTGTGGGTTGCCATTTCCTTCTCCAATGCATGCACGCATGCTAAGTTGCTTCAGTCGTGTCTGACTCTGTGCGACCCTATGGACAGCAGCCCACCAGGCTCCTCTGTCCACAGGATTCTCCAGGCAAGAACACTGGTGTGGGTTGCCATTTCCTTCTCTAATGCATGCACGCATGCTAAGTCGCTTCAGTCATGTCTGACTCTGTGTGACCCTATGGACAGCAGCCCACCAGGCTCCTCTGTCCACAGGATTCTCCAGGCAAGATTACTGGTGTGGGTTGCCATTTCCTTCTCCAATGCATGCACGCATGCTAAGTCGCTTCAGTCGTGTCCGACTCTGTGCGACCCTATGGACAGCAGCCCACCAGGCTCCTCTGTCCACAGGATTCCCCAGCCAAGAATACTGGAGTGGGTTGCCATTTACTGTCCTGTGTAGTCGTGACTTATTATATGTACCTTTTCTAGGTTGGCCGGGTGCGTATCAGTGTCTCCTCACCTCCTGAGTGCTTGGGAAACAAGTTTAGCGTGGGAGGACCCAGCCCTGGACCATTCTTACTCAGGGAGCACACCCACCCTGAGAGGTCAACACTACAGCAGCCGGCTGGGCCCAGATCTTTCTCTCTCTCCTCCTTTTAAAAATTTATGTATATATTTTGGCTGTGCTGGGTCTTCCTGGGAGGGCTTTTCTCTAATTTAGGAGAGCAGGGGGCTACCCTCTTGATGTGAAGCACAGGCTCCAGGACCTCGGGCTCAGGGGTTGTGGCTCCCGGGCTCTAGAGCACAGGATCTGAAATTGTGGCGCGTGGGCTCAGTTGCTGAGACACGTGGGGTCCTCCCAGATGAGGGATCGGACTCATGTCTCCTGCACTGGGAGGTGTATTCTTTACCACTGGGCCACCAGGGAAGTCCCTCTTTCCTTTTTTAAAAACTAGACTGCAAGGTGGGAGACAGAATACAATAAGCAAAAAGTAGGCAGAGAGAATAACTCTAGTAAAGCTCAGCCCGCCTGGCATAGGAGCATGGATGTGTCTGGCCCCCACATGTCACCAGTTCTCTGATGCACACGTCAGCAGGTCCTGCGCCTCAGGTACCTACCTGTGCAGTCTGGTCAAGAAGAACGTGAACTTTGTAGCCCAAGAGCTTGAAGAGGGTGACGAGAGTGCTGTGGTCCACATCCCCTCCCGAGCGGAATTCCAGGTCTTTCTCTCCAGTGAAGTGCACGTTGCTCAGCACCAGTGCCAGGCCGCGGGGCCGAGACTGCAACCTGTAGGCCTGGGGAGGGGCACCCAACGAGACTGTCAGCTTCGTGAGGACAGAAACTATGCCCCCCCGCCCCCCCAGAAGGAGACATTTCAAGAAAACAAAGACATCAACATTGTTCTTCGTAGCCCCACCAGGTCAAAATATAGAAGTGCCCACAGAAGACAGTCAATGGGCAACGCTTTGGGGACTCACAAGATGAGAAGGAAATGATGTATACACAAGACTTGCTATGTTCAGATGCCCAGGAAGGGTATTTCATTTCTCAGTGCCTTTCCTCTTCCCATTTCCCAAGACTCACCAGCTGGTGGTGTGTTTGATAAAACTCAGGCGTGCAGGGCTTCACCTGAAGGCAGGGAGGACCATCTCCGTGGTCTAGGGAGTGTTCCACCGCATCTGTGGCGCACAGAGCCGAAAAACTAGCTTAAAGTCTACCTGGCATTCTTAGTATTTTCATATAACTTCAGGTTCCCTTCGGTCTTGCTCACTCCCCTGGTTTGTTAAGCACTACGGAGACAGACGGCCTGTTTGCTTTTGCTCATCAAGGGATCCTCTGCACTTGGCCTGCCTATAGTAGTAGGTGCTCAACCTACTGAATGACTGAATGGGGTATCTGATAAATGTCTTATTCTAATCACTAGGCTAATCAGTCAGCAGGCTAGAGGCCCACAGTATAGTCTTTCCTCACTGCGAAGTAACTCAGCTCTATAAAGAGACAGACCAATCATGTGCAGGAATCTCCTACTTGCATTAGTTGCTCCAAGGGCCAATCACCATTAAAAAAAAAATCATCTGTGAGGGAAGGAAAACAGGTGCAACCTACACCCCACCTAAACTGTCCTGCTGGTCCCTAACAAATGCACTGAGGAAACTGCCAATTATGAACAAAAATAGCTATCACACTAGGCAAAGTCAGACACCAGTCAAGGAAATGGAAGTCAATATGCAAGGGGGGATTGGTTGGGGAGGGGGGTGGTGGGCAGAGATGTGCTATTTTACATCATCAATTCTTACCTGGAGACAGGCGGAGCCGCTTCTGGCGGGCACAGGACTCACACATCAGGAAAGGGAGACTCAGGTCATAGTCGCAGCTCAACTGTAAGAAAGAAGGACCCACCAAGCCAGGCTCAGAGGAGCTAGTCCAGATCAAGTAATACAGAACCCTAGTCCCCCTAGCCCAACCCATCCCCACTGTCTCAAAGAAGCCTTTCCCACCAGACTAGCCCTTCTCAACACACACAGCCTAGGGCTCCATACCGGCGGGACGACAGGCTGAAGACTGGACAGGGTTCTGAGCAGCAGCTCCTCCAGGTGGCTCTGCTTAGTCTCCCTCAGGGCCAAACAGAAGGCATCAAAGGCCTGGGGGCCTCTCTTGGGCAGCAAGTTGAGGAGTTCCACGTTCTGGCCGAAACTGCCCGTCTTGGCCTACGAGAATAAAACACGACGTCACCTTTACTCACCCAGCTGGAATCCTATTTCTCCAGGCGAGCTTCGCACTAACATCATCATCCGTCTCAAGGACTCCTTTTCACAGAAAGAAACGGATGTGTGAACTCCTTCCCATCACTCGTGGATTCTGTCTTCTCTGTCAAATGCTTGAGGGCAGAAATGCATTTTCACTGCCTTAGTGAAGCATGACATCTTTCCCCCACTGTACTGTGCTCTGTTCTTATTCCGACCACCAATGTATTTCCTTGGCTTTCCTCGTTTGCCTCCAGATACCTGAATGTGCTCTCTCATTTCCAAGGTGATAATGTCCCTCTCCAGGAGGTGTTCCAACAGTTCGCTCAGCAGCAGCTCTTTGGCCAGCACCACGCGGTTCTTTTTGAGAGCTTCCTGATGGTCAGGATGCATGCCACACCCTCTCAACACCCTGCAGATAAAAGGCGGACAGAAAAGCCATCAATACAAGATCTGGCACAGAGGAGTGGGGTGCAAGAGGCGTCGGCAAGAAAAACATAAAGAACAGGACTTCCGATAACTAAGACATACTTTAGTGAATCTGCTTAAAATCACAGAAGTATTGTTATTAGGCAGTAACACACTGATTATAAGCAAATGATATACAATCCTTTACAGAGGATGTTCAGCTGAGATCATCTGTGTTCTGATTAGAAAGTATCTTTTGTGACAAAAATCACACACACACAAGTACATATTCACAATAAGGAATATTCCTCTGACAGACCAATTTTAATTAAGGAATACTTCAGAAAACATTTCCCATTACTTGTCTAAGTTGCTGACAGTGACTGAAAATAATCCTCTGTGAGAAATAATTTCATACAATGGCAAAAACTCAACGGACAACTTTAATATAAAATAAATCACACACACACACACACACACACACAGGCCTTCTCAAGCCTGTACTGTGCTATGTGCTGTGCTTATTTGCTTCACTTGTGTCCGACTCTTTGTGACCCTAAGGACTGTAGCCGGCCAGGCTCCTCTGTCCATGGGAGTTTCCAGGCAAGAATACTGCAGTGGGTTGCCATGCCCTCCTCCAGGGGATCTTCCTGACCCAGGGATTGAACCCATGTCTCTTAACATCTCCTGCACTGGCAGGCAGGTTCTTTACCACTAGCGCCACCTGGGCAGCCCACTTATACCTACTGAAACTATGGTTTTTTAGAACTGTTAGCTCCTTTGACAAAATGACACCAGAAACGACCAGAATCCTTTAAGAACCGGATTAAGCAGAAAGTCTGACAGTAAGTGACAGCAGATAAGTGCCAATGACAGAAACAATCAACGTAACTTGAAATCACTTTCAGGGTTAGCGCCTGTAAAGGCTACATTATTTTGGTAATTTAATTTATGAGGGATGCTTTCAAGAACTCCTTCGTTTTGCCATGCATTTGGAAAAAGATCGGCTTCTGTTGATGAACTGAAAGAATCCTGTTTCCGATATATACCATCTAGATGCCTTGGTGTATTTAAACCCAGGACTTGCCAGCCTGCTCAGTTAGTTTCCAAATACACAACAACAGTGAGGATCTGATGGCAGTAAGAAAGGAATACGGTCACAGCTTCAGTCTGTATGTAAAAATCTATTTTAAAATGCATCCTGACTTCACAGATGTTAAAGTGTGCTTGTGTGGGGGTAGAGAGTGAGGGGAACATATATCTCAGAATCAGTGAAATACCACACATTTGTAGAATGTCAATGGCTTAATTCTAGATTGGAAGAGGGAAAAGCAGCTTTGGAAGAGCTTCTGAGGCACGAGAAATCCAAAGGCAGAGGAACCAGCCATTTAAACACCCCCAGAGTTGTGTTGTTTAATCATTAAGTTGTGTCCAACTCTTTTGTGACCCCATCGACTGTAGCTGCTGGGTTCCTCTGTCCATGGGATTTCCCAGGCAAGAATACTGGGGTGGGCTGCCATTTCCTTCTCCATGGCCCAGGGCTACAGGTAGCCAACTTTCATTGATTTTGGGGTTTGGGACAGTGATGTTTGAAACTCTGCTTTAACTTCTTGTTTCTGTTCTATTGTAATACTCCTATTATCCCATAGATTCATTGAAAACCTGCTACAACAATATAATCTATAGAGAAATCAGAAACCTCATTAAGAATCACCTTGGCACCTCCCAATGCAGGAAACATGGTGTGATTTCTGGTCCAGGAAGATCCCACAGGAAGCAGAGTAACTAAGCCTGTGTGCCACGCCTACTGAGCCTGTGCTTCAGAGCCCAGGAGCCACAACTACTGAAGTCAGCGCGCCCTAGAGCCTGTGCTCCTCAACAAGAGAAAGCGCTACAATGACGAGTCCGGCAACTAGAGAAAGCCCCAAGTGCAGCAGCAGAGACTCAGCACGGCCATAAATAAATAAATACTTTTTTTTCTTTTTTTAAAGAATCACCTTGGAACACACACCAAAGCAAACATGCATGAACTCTGATAAAAATAAGTGTTAATAGGTCAGTTGCAGGATAACATCGCAGCTGGATACTGGATATTTCCTCAGGATACATACCAATGGTGGGGCAGTTTACTCAACTTTTTTCTCTTAATTTACTAGTATTTTCTCCTTGAAACTTTATCCTCCCTGGGTTTCCATAACACCATTCTCTCCAGTTCCCCTCTCTCCCTACTAGGTCCGTTTTCCCTCACAGGACCTTTGGTCTGCCCTTAAACGTCGACAATCCCTCTCAAAGTCTCTTCCCATTCCATCTCATTCACACAATTCACTATTCGACACTCAGTTCTTAACTCCAAATTCTGGACTTAAATTTTCAATCAGTAACTCATTAGGGTTTAATTTGAAGCACCATCCATTCTCCACACACCTGCTCCTTCCAGTATTCCATATCTTGGGCAGTTTCAAACACGGACTTTTCAGAAGTAACCACAATCACTCAGAACTTTAAGACACATCTGGAAAGGGAGGAGGCAGTGGAGAAAAAGGACGCAAAGGCGAGTCTTAAAAAGTCCTGAGTCTGTGTCCTGCAGGTCTGGTTCCAAAGCCCTCAGTTAATCTTCTGGGTCTGCCATGAAAGGATTTACCTAGGGCAGAGACCGAGGCACACTCGGAGCCTCGGGTACCTCCTTGTCTCAAAGTACTCAAATCCCAACACCTCTGTGGAATGCTTTGAAAATCTGATCATTACACCCAATGCAGTACAGATCATGATCTATTCGACCTAAAACAAATGCACACCAGGCAGAGGTCTGCAGGTCTCACAGGTTTTTAAGACAGCAATTTAGTTCCTAAAAAGGGAGCTACGAAACAGAAAAGAGAATCTTTTAAGAGAAGCCGAGATTTGGCGGGACTGAAAAGAGATCCCTTGGTTCAGAGCCCCGTGCCTTGGAAGTAATGGAGGCTGGCGAGTCTGTGCACGAGAGGGACAAGGCCCAGAAGAGATTCGCCCTCCTGCGCTCCCCTCGGTCACCGCTTCTTTGGCTGCAAGCACGGATACAGCTGCTTCCAGGGGCTTCCGAGGTGAGGAGGCGTCAGGACCACACGCCAGAAACCTCTGTTCCTCCCCTTGGACCCACTAAGGACCCCCGGACTCTCCCCACTCACCTGCGCCCCCTATCAGCGGCCATCTGCTCCTTTGGCTGGAGGGCGGACCGGGAGCCCGCGCTGGGCGCCGCCATTTCCCGCTTTTCCCGGGCAATGCGCGCAGCCCCCAGAGCCCAAACACACCGCGAGCCTGCGGGTCCTCAGCATCCCTCCCCCGTACGCCGGCGCGCAACGCGCCTGCGCAGTGCCTCTCCTAGCTCCGCCCCCTACGCGGGGCCGGCCCTGCCGGAGCGGCCGCCGCAGCGCGCGCAGGCGCAGAACCCGCACGGTGGGCGCGCTGACCAATGGGGCTAGCGAGCGCGCTAGGCGGAAGGGGAAGCGAGGGCCGCCCCGCCCTACGTCGCCATCCGATTGGTCGACGGTTCCCGCGGAAATCACAGCTCCCTCCCCGGCACCGCCCACCTCTCCTCATCCGCGAATTGAGAGAACTCTGTGGAGATGGGTGTGGCCGGACTTTTCAATTTTGAACTGTTGGGACCGGGGTAGGGAAGACAAGGAAAGCCCTGGAAGTCGCTAGACGGATTCCCCGCGCAAAGAGTGAGAAACGCGGGTCAGCGATGGTTGAGCAGCTCCCTCGGGCTCAAACCTGTGTCACAGGCTCAGCCCGTGATTACGGAGAAGCTGGCGTTCTGTTTGGATCTGAGGAAGCTGGTCAGGGAGCCTGGGGTAAAACCCAGCGTCACAGCGCAGGGGTGAGGCTGAAGCAATTGGAGACAGCACTCAAGTAGCTTCAGTGCCTCATATAATAGATGATTTATGAGAGATCCTTAGATATTCGACTTCCTTGGTGGCTCAGTCGGTAAAAACGTCTGCCTACAATGCTGGAGACCTGGGTTCGATCCCTGGGTCAGGAAGATCCCCTGGAGAAGGAAATGTCAACCCACTCCAATACTGTTGCCTGGAAAATCCCTTGGACGGAGAAGCCTGGTAGGCTACAATCCATGGGGTTGCAAAGAGTCAGACACGACTGAGCGACTTTCAGTTTCTAAGAAAATATTCCACCACCTCTCAACAAGAAGGTCGGGTTGATCATCATATCCACCCATCCTGAAAATCAGAAGTCTCTCCCCCTGGGGCGGTTTAACCCACCGCTTTCCCATCAGATGGGGACCCTGCATTGGGAACTGCTCTCCAGCCCTGCTGATAGCTCAATCGGTAAAGAATCCACCTGAAAGGCAGGAGAGCCGGGTTTGACTCCTGAGTCCGGAAGATCCGCTGGAGAAGGGATAGGCTACCCACTCCAGTGTTCTTAGGCTTCCCCTGTGGCTCAGCTGGTAAACAATCCGCTACAGTGTGGGAGACTTGGGTTCAGTCCCTGGGTTGGGAAGATCCCCTGGAGAAGGGAAAGGTTACCCACTTAAGTATTGTGGCCTGGAGAATTCCATGGACTGTATGGTTCATGGGGTCGCAGAGTCTGACACAACTGAGCGACTTTCACTCTCACTCCAGCCCCCCAGCACCACCATGCTGGAATTGCTCCCTTTCTGGAACAGGGGCCATCACAGGTGCAATTCCCTCTGCTCCTCTAGGAGGCTGGTGCACTCCTGGTACACTCAGTCCGTCCTGTCTGCAGACACAAGTGGTCCCCCATTCTGTATACAGGAAGTCCTCCACCCCCTCACCAGCCACTGACCAAGACAGGACAGAGATGCTTGGGGGAACTGGCTTCTGTTGCCTTGTACTGAAAATACAAACTGAGGTAGATAAACCTAGAGCCTGTTACACAGAGTGAAGTAAATCAGAAAGAGAAAAACAAATACTGTCTATTAAGGCATGTTTGAGCATGCTAAGTAGTTTCAGTTGTGTCTAACTCTGCAACTCTATGGGTTGTAGCCTGTCAGGCTCCTGTCCATGGGATTCTCCAGGCAAGAATACCAGAGTGGGTTGTCATGCCTTCCTCCAGGGGAATCTTCCCGACCCAGGGATTGAACCTGCATCTCTTGTGTGTCCCTTCATTGGCAGGCAGGTTCTTTACCACTGGTGCCACCTGGGAAGCCCATATTGATACAGTGTGTGTATGTATATATATATATATACATATACATACACACACACACACACACACATAATCTAGAAAAATGGTACTGATGAACCTATTTGTAGGGCAGGAACAGAGACACAGATGTAGAGAATGAATTTGTGAGCACAGCTGGGGAAGGAGAGGATGGGATGAACTGAGAAAGTAGCACTGAAATATATACATCATCTTGTGTAAAGTAAACAGCTAGTGGGAAGTTGCTATGTGGTGCTCTGTGACAACCTAGGGGGGGTGGGATGGTGGCTCAAGACAAGGGATATATCTGTGCTTAGGGCTAATTCACGTTGTATGGCAGAAACCAACACAACATTGTTAAGCAATTATCCTCAATTAAACTTAAAAAAAAAATCATATACATACTGACCTTACCCCCCTACCTCTTTGGAGCAGTTTCTCAGAACTATTTGAAATGCTATCTCCTGGGCTATATTCTTCATTTTGTTCCAGATAAAACAACTCGAAAAAAAACCGAAAAGACAAGAGGCAATGAGATCTGAAGAGCAAAGTTCAAGACTGTGTCATTTACTAGCAGAGTGCTCCTGTGCAAACTATCAATTTTTTTTCTGACCATTAGGGTCCTCGTTTAATAAATGAGGGCAATAACACCTCATTTTTGTGATCTAATAGAGCCAAAGCACCTGGAACAGAAGCATCAGAATGTCACTCAGATATTGTTTCTTTTCTTCTTTCCCTAGATTCTCTGGAGGAGATGATCCCTCCTCATCTCACCCTCAGTCTAACTCTGGATATGGGGTAGGTTGCTGAATATTGCCTGAAGACTCAAATGGTGCCACCTGCATCTTTGGGATGGGCCACCTCAAAACCGGGCAGGGCTCACCACAGCCCGACTCCTCTCTGGGTCAAAGCCTGCATGTGTGATGTCCAGGTGGGGACACAGTTCCTGACACACGACAGGCACTGGGAGGCAATGGTCCAAAGAATGAGTGGGTCTGGTGCCGAAAGATGATATATCCTCAGAAAGTCCTTTAGGAGGGTGTCCAGTTGTTTCCATAGAAAACATCATCATCAGAGTGACCACAGCTGACTTCATAGGCAGGCGGTGGAGTCAGAGGTTCCAATCTGGGGGGCGTCCACAAGGTCTGCAGATCAGGAACAGTAGACACAGTCCGTGACCACCGAAGCCGCAGGCTGATTGGAGGTCTTCTAGGACTTGCTGAGGTCACAGACCCCTCTGAGCCCACTCGCCTGTCCAGTCTGGCTCTCCTGGGCTCCTCTGGATGGTTAGGCTGTCCCTCCTCAAGTCCTGGGGGGATTACAATGCTGCTGTAAGAGGGTGGTAGGTCCAGCTCTTGGGGGTGGGGCTGCGGCTCCATCACTGTGGCTTCACCATAGGTTGGCACCTCAAAGGCTTCATTGTCCCTGAGTAAGGGGGGAGAAATAAGGCCATTAGTGGCTTCTGAAAGGCGCCTTTTTCCCTTTTCTGTCTTCTACCAGGAAAAGACCCCTCCACTCCCTGCTACCAGTGACCGGGGAAAGCAGAGTCTGTATGCCTGGAGGCCAGAAGCACAAAGGGAGAATGGGTCCACGTGTACTCTTCCAGTCCTGTCCACCCCTCAACTCACCGTGCATTGCTGGAGGCCCCTGGGCTCTCGGTCTGCCCTGATCGAGACCCCCATTCCAAAACACAGGCCAGGAGGCAGGCCAACAAAAAGAAGCCACCCAAGCTGAGAAAGAAATAAGCCACAGGGGCGATGTCCGGCCGTATCCCCAGCAAAGCCAGCCCCAGGAGGAAGGAGGTGCAGCACAGGAAGAGAAGCGGCTTCTCCAGTTTCCCCCACGGCTGGCCTGGCACCATGGCCCCTCCCCAGGCTCCTGCAAAAAGACGCACAGTTGTTGTGTCCAAACTAGCAGTTGGCATCGCGGCTAGGTCAGATTTCAAAGTAAGCCTATCAGACACCTCTGTCTGGCTTTGTTCTTTCCATCTCAAATCAAAATAAATGGCCCAAAGAAATGATCTGCAGGGTCCCCCCACCCCCCAGCTCTGGAGTTTTCTCTAGGATCACCTAGGAGAATGATCCCAGGGTATCGATATATGTGGAGCAGCCAGGAAACCAGCCCAGGAGTTCTGACTCCCAGCCCCTGTGTGAGGGTATTTGCTGCGCCATGACCCCTAGTTCCTTCATTTTTCTTTCTTCTCTGTGATCTCTCTTCCAGCTCCACATTTCTATGCCTTCCAGCTCCCAGTAGTGGGCAGGCCCTGCCTGGGGCGTCTCCCTGCTCCACGGCATCTCAGGAATCCAGGTGATGGGCAGGCCACGCCCCTTATTTTTGCTGTCTCTAAATCTACCCCCCCGCCCCCAGTCCCAAGCCCTCAGTCTGGTCTCAGTCTTACCCTATTGGACCCCCGTTTTCCCATTTCCTCCAGTCGGGGAGAAAACTGTACACACAGGATACAACTACCTGAGAGTCTTACAGACAAGGATCTTGAGCGACGGACCTCAGCTCAGCTAATTCTTAAACTCTCCACGTCCCACGTCTGTCAGGGCCCACCACCCTCTATGGGCCCTAACTCGGTAAACTCAGACTTCAAGTGTCCTGCCTGAAGTTTTTACTGAAGGGGCTCCGAGGCTGGTTTGGGAGACTTTTCTTTGCTTCGCAACGCAGCAGTAACTCCCTGGCAGCCTCTCAAGAGTCTCCTGAGCTCTGCACACAAAGGAGTCACAGGTTCTTTAGAAAGGGGCCAGATGCCCTCCTTAGACCCCAGCCCCAAAGGCATGACCCTCCTGCCCTCTTACCTGCGCTAGGACTTCCTCACCTGTCTCGCGCACTCGGCAGTGAGTAGGTTGGGGCAGGGGGAGGAGGAGGGAGGAGGAGACGGGGCGGAGCCCACTGGTTCCACCCACTTTTGTGCCCAGATCCCTACATTCCTGCGCAGGCTTCCTCCTTCCCTTTCTGCTCAGGGCTGAACTCCTACTTTTGCCCCACCTGGAATTTTTCTGGCTCTTAGTTACTACATCCCCAACCCCCACAGAGCCCTAGAGAGAGTACTCCCCAACCTCACCCCCAGTGATCTTTGTACCTTGGATCAGAGTTAAATTCATCTTTCCTTCTCAAGGCGCTTGGTGTTCCCAGCAGTTTGCATTATGTTTAGGTAATAATGTTTTGTGCCTGGGAGCAAGATGTCAAGCAAGGCCCTGCGGGGCTCCTGGGCACAGAGGTCTTTTTGTACCCCATTTCTTAGAGTCAGAACTCCAGTATCCACGACCTCTGAGTTCCAAAGAGCAGAACAGTTGTTAATCAAGGGAGGAACAATCAGGAAACTACCTGAGGCAAGATTAAAGGGACCAGAGAGGCTCAAGGTTAGGAGCCCCAACCGCCTAAGACCTTGCATACAACCTCACCCTTTTGCAGAAGAAAGAAGGCAAGACTATTACTGCCTAGATCCTTATCACACACCCTTGCCTGACTATGTAACCTCCGCCTACTCACCCCTGAGTGGGGCAGGTTTCTTGAGACCCCGCTGTTTCTTTGTGGCCAGCCACTCTCTTTCTCCTCCATAACTGTCTTCCTATTTATGTTTGGCATTGGTGCACAGAGAGCCAAGATTTTGGCAACAAGCAGAGCAGAGACCGTGGCTTATTTAATCTCCGTGTATTACATAGTGTTTTGCACACTGTGGGCACTACTGTTGGTACAGAATGATGTGTCCTGCTTACCCTACCAAAGTATCATTTCTATAAATTCCTTGGTTTTTTTTGCAGACCTGTAAGATGTGTTCGTTTGTATGCTGCTTTGATTAGTTAACTCTTTTTTGTTTTAAATTTTAATGCTATAAATTTTATTGAGGATGAGATAGTGCTTTATGTGCTATGTAAAATGTGTGCGTGCTCAGTCGTGTCCGACTCTTTGCGACCGCACGGACTGTAGGCCCCCAGGTTCCTCGGTCCATGGGGATTCTCTAGGCAAGAATACTGGAGTGGGTTGCCACTTCCTCCCCCAGGGGGTTTTCCCAACCCAGGGAGCTAAAGGGTGTGTCCTTCATTGCAGGCGGATTCTTTACACTGAGCTGTTGAGGAAGCCCCTATTTTGTTACCAAGTCCAAGCTCACTCTGCTCATGGCACAACAGGCCAATGAATCCAAAAGAGGAGATGTTGAGGTAAGGAATATGACTTTATTTGGAAAGCTGGCTTACCGAGAAAATGGCAGACTACCTTCCCTAAGTTTCAAAGGGCAGCTTTAAACAGCTTCTAATTAGGAAGTAGAGGAGTGTGGAAACAAAGGAAGAGCAGTCCGGAAACAATAGTTCCATGATAGGCAGAGTCCTGGTTCCTCCTCAGGGGCTATGGTAACAATATATCTTTGAGTCTTTTTATCAGAGCTAAGGCCCCCACCTAGGGGGAGGATGGTAACTTTAGACAGAGCATAGAAGTTTGGCCACATAATGCGAAGAATCAACTCACTGGAAAAGACCCTGATGCTGGGAAGGATTGAAGGCAGGAGGGAAAGGGGACGACAGAGGAGCTGGTTGGATGGCATCACTGACTCGATGAACATGAGTTTGAGCAAGCTCTGGGAGACAGTGAAGGACAGGGAGGCCTGGTGTGCTGCAGTCCATGGGGTCACAAAGAGCTGGACACAACTGAGTGACTGAACAACAACAACAACAAAGATTGAAGACAAAAGGTGAAGGGGGCTGAAGAGGATGAGATAGTTAGATGAGCATCACTGACTCAGTGGGCGTGAATTTAAGGAAACTCGGGGAGATAATGCAGAAGACCCTGGCTTGCTGCAGTCTGAGAGGGTAACAGGTAGAAAGGCCAGAGATCCTCAAGTAGCAGGAGGAAATAAACTGCAAGTGGCAGACGTTTTTTCCCTTCTCTACACAAAATTAAAAGAGCCTGGTTTCCCTGGTGGCTCAGAGGTTAAAGTGTCTGCCTGCAATGCAGGAGACGTGGGTTCGATCCCTGGGTTGGGAAGGTCCCCTGGAGAAGAAAATGGCAACCCACTCCAGTATTCTTATCTGGAGAATCCCGTGGACAGAGGAGCCTGGTGGGCTACAGTCCACGGGGTCGCAAAGGGTAGGACACAACTGAGCAACTTCACTTTCACTTTCTTTTAATTATGTGTTGATGACATCTGGTTGTGCCTTGAGCTATGCCAATGCGTTTTTCTTATGGAAATGTTTTTTTAAGCTATAGTAATGAAATTATGTATTTGCTTTGGAATCTCCCTTTCTTCAAAATGCTTTCGTCTAAGACTAATTTTCCACCTAAGGCTTCAACAGTATGTGAACCGTGACCTTCCAGATATTCAAACTGGATTTAGAAAAGCCAACAAATTGCCAACATCCGTTGGATCATTGAAAAAGCAAGGGAGTTCCAGAAAAACACCTAGTAGTGTAGTGTCAGTCGCTCAGTCGAGTCTGACTCTTTGCGACCCCACGGACTCTAGCCTGCCAGGCTCCTCTGTCCATGGAATTTGCTTTATTGACTACACCAAAGCCTTTGACTGTGTGGATCACAATAAACTGTGGAAAATTCTTAAAGAGATGGGAATACCAGACGACCTGACCTGCCTCCCGAGAAATCTGTATGCAGGTCAAGAAGTGACAGAACTGGACATGGAACAACAGACTGGTTCCAAATCAGGAAAGGAGTACATCAAGGCTGTATATTGTCACCCTGCTTATTTATGCAGAGTACGTCATGAGAAATGCTGGACTGGATGAAGCACAAGCTGGAATCAAGATTGCCGGGAGAAATATCAATAACCTCAGATATGCAGATGACACCACCCTTATGGCAGAAAGTGAAGAAGTAAAGAGCCTCTTGATGAAAGTGAAAGAGGAGAGTGAAAAAGTTGGTTTAAAACTCAACATTCAGAAAACTAAGATCATGGTATCTGGTCCCATCACTTCATGGCAAATAGATGGGGAAACAGTGGAAAGTGACAGACTTTTTTTTTTTTTTTGGGCTCCAAAATCACTGCAAATGGTGACTGCAGCCAAGAAATTAAAAGACACTTGCTCCTTGGAAGAAGCTATGACCAACCTAGACAGCATATTAAAAAGCAGAGATATTACTTTGCCAATAAAGGTCCATCTACTCAAAGCTGTCATTTTTCCAGTAGTCATGTATGGATGTGAGAGTTGGACTATGAAGAAAGCTGAGCGCAGAAGAATTGATGCTTTTTGAACTGTGGTGTTGGAGGAGACTCTCGAGAGTCCCTTGGACTGCAAGGAGATCTAACCAGTCCATCCTAAAGGAAATCAGGCCTGAATATTCATTGGAAGGACTGATACTGAAGCTGAAACTCCAGTGCTTTGGCCACCTGATGCGAAGAACTGACTCATTGGAAAAGACCCTGATGCTGGAAAAGATTGAAGGCAGGAGGAGAATGGAATGACAGAGGATGAGATGGTTGGATGGCATCACTGACTCAATGGACATGAGTTTGAGTAAGTTCCGGGAGGTGGTGATGGACAGGGAAGCCTGGCGTGCTGCAGTCCATGAGGTCTCCAAGAGTCAGGCATGACTGAGTGACTGAACTGGACTGAAGACTAACCTTGTTTTCTTTTCTGAAACCTTGGGCTGATAATGGCTCAAACCAGTGTTCAAGTCAATTGTTGTATGGCCAGGGATGACACACCTTGTGCCATCCTATCTCTAAAATGCATGTTTTGGAGAGGGACCTGGTGAAACTCCCTCAGCCTTGCGGTGTCTCTCCTATCTGATTAAGAGCTTGGTAACAGACATAAAACACCTTGCGAAAAACTAGCAAGGGGGCATTCTTTCTGCCCCCTTCTGATGGCTATGTTAGAAGTTTTCTCGCTCTCTTTTATACTTTATTAAAATTCTGTTACACAGAAAGCTCATGGTCAAGCCTGGTCTCTGGCCCCTGATCAAAATCCTCTCCTCCAGAGGTCATAAATCCCAGGATAGCACACGGCTCACAGCAGCAACCTTACAGTCCATGGGGTTGCAAAGAGGCGGACATGACTTAGTGACTGAACAACAAAAGAAATCAAAAGATTAGACAATTGTAATTGTAGGTTTGCAGAAGAGAAATAGCTAAAAGATTGGTAATTAGCTGTAGGGTTTTTCTGGTGGCTCAGTGGTAAAGAATCTGTCTATCAATGCAGGAGACATGGGTTCAATCCCTGAATGGAGAAGATATCCTGGAGAAGGAAGCGGCAACCCACTCCAGTATTCTTGCCTGGAAAATCCCGTGGACAGAGGAGCCTGGAATGCTACAGTCCATGGGGTCACACAGAGTCTGAAACATGTACAGTACAGATTTGTGTACTGATCAACAATGACAACAAAATTCCTGGAGTACCGCCCTGTTACCTCACCACCAACCAATCAGAAGAAAGTCCACACACCCTACAAACTTCACCGCTTATTTTGCCTTTAAAAACTCTTTCCCAAAACCATCAAAAGACCATTGGGTCTTTTGACTATCGGCCGCCCACTCTCTTTGCATGGCCCTTATAATAAACCTTTCTCTGTCCCACATTCCCACGTCCCAGTTTGTCTGGCCTCACTGCGGGTCAGGCAAGTGAACCTGTATTGGGCAACACTTCTGCTGTGAATGTCTCAAGGTGAGTGATTAGTTTCAACCATCTCTAAATCTCTGAAACTAACACGGTTCCTGCAACATGGTAGATGCTCACCAAGCACAGCTGAATGTTCTTGTTAGAAGGCTACCGATCCAGCTGGCCTCACTGCAGGCTGGACATCTGAGATCCATTCTTTTCTGTTTTGGATCTGGTGGCAAGTCTGGGTGAGGCAGATGCTGGGAGGCGCAGACTGCCTGGAGGAGTACTTTGCTCTGGAGACAAGGTTGGACTCTGTGCCTTCAGAGTGTTGATAGTGGACCAATCAAAGGAGTAGCAGTCCTGGGGCACGGCCAGGGCTATCGCAGCAGAGGATGTGTGGAGTCTGGGGGCTGGAGGTGGGGAGAAAAGGAGAACAAGAAGGAGGTTATGGGTAAAGAGTGAGTGTGCCTGGGGTTGTGTGTGTGTGTGTAGTGGTGGGGTGTCAGTGTTGATTCTCTGTTCCTGGTTGACAGAGGAGAGAGGGAGGTGATCGATGTAACAGGAAGGCCGTGGTGGTCTAGATGAGCTGTCTCTCTAGGAAGTGGGAATATAGGGTGGGAAGAGACTTGCTTGTTATAGTTGGCTCTCTGTATCCTCAGGTTCTGCATTCAGTCAAATTCATCCCAACTAGTGTAGAAAATATTCAGAAAAGAAATATAGAAGGTTCTAACAAGCAAAACTTGAATTTGTTGAGTACTGGCAACTATTTATATAGCATTTATTGGGTATTATAAGTAATGTAGAGATGATTGAAAGTATATAGGAGGATTACCAAGTTATATACACATTACTACATCATTTTATATAAGAGTCTTGAGCATCCTCTGACTCAGTGTTTATAGGGTTTCACACCAGTATGTACTCTACGATATCTAATGAGATGTAAGCTTTTTTTAAAAAATCTTTTAAAGATTTTATTTATTTATTACTTTTGGCTGTGCCAGGTCTTCGTGCTTGCA